TGGGTTTGTAGCAGTGTTGTTTATTTACCTGGCTTCCCGAGCTTTTTGAGCAAGACAGCTCAAGATGAAGCTGTCCTCTGATTAGCTACCTGATTAGATACCTGAGCGGGCAACATTGGCCCATAAATCTCGCCCCGCGCAGGGGTGGCCCGCTGTGTCACGTGAGGTGTGTATTGCTTTTAATATTGGCAATACAAAAAGAATACAATTTAATTTCCCTGTCGTCTTCGATCACCAAGTAACAAAAACATAAAAAAACTGTCGGTAAATGAATGACCGTTCTCCCACCTCCCCTCTCCAAACTTTGGTTTGGGTGACAAAAGTTTCTCAGACAATACAACATGGGAAAAGAGGAGAACTTTGTTGTAGTTCGATGAAATTGTATGATCTTCCGTCATCTAACGATTGATCGAGGATGTTGATTTGCGTTTCAGGGTGTTTTCTCTATAAAGAATTAAGGTATTACTAGTCCGCTGAAATGAAATTTTCAGAATTGACTGCAACAGGTACTCCGTAACTGGATCAAATAACATTTCATGATCTTCCGCAGGGTTTGTAGCCGCCAAAAATGCCACGCCTTCCAGTCGCCGGAGTTGGGTCCTGCCTATCATTATTATTTCATCAGCAATCGTCTTTGTGTCGATTGCGATAGCTGCGCACTTCTTTATAAAGAAAAAGCGCACCTATTTACGACATCGAGCGGGAGACCTTGAAGAAGGAATTATGAAGAGCAATAATCTTTTCATCAGTTACAGTTCAAAAGATGGTGCGTGGGTCAATGAAAATCTTATTCCCATTCTCGAGAAACACTCAATATCGTACAGCATTCACACAAGAGATTTTGAGTTGGGAAAGCCCATTGTCCAAAACATGGCAGACAGCGTCTACAGCAGCCGCAAAGTTCTGATTGTCTTGTCTGACAACTATTTCGCCAGCAACTTCTGTCGAGAAGAGCTGCACATGGCCGTCCAGCGGGAGAAAGACGCTGCAGACTCCTCACTGATTCTGGTGGTGTTCAGTAAGTTAAAGATACAGAGGTTGCCAAGGGCGTTGAAAAGCAAAAAGTGTTGGCTTGATTTTGAGAAGCATAAGCGACATTGGGAGAAGAAATTGTTGAGTGTTACACTAGATGGAAAAGCTTCTGAATTTGTGTGCCAAACTGAATTTTAGTCTTAATACTAGATCTCAAGTAAGCATAAGTGAGTGTCAGCAAGGCTCACAGCCAACCATATTATTCATTTCTTTTAAAGGCGACTCTCTATTCTTCATGGATCAACGCCTCATAATTAAAAACACCAATGGAATCATAGTTTCCTGTGGATAAAGCTCGGGTATCTTATCATACTAGTAATAACCAAAGCTTAGTGAGTGCGCCGTTTGACAACGACCGAAGGTCCAAACGCTTCAGTTGCTCCTTAGTGTGCTTTGCGTATGTTTCGCGTAAGGAACTTACATGAAACACCGTGAAAATAATGTCTGTGATATACATGTACGATACTCGATTATTTAAATATCATATAAACCTTAGTGAACGTGAGTGGAAGTAAAATCCAGAGGAAAAGCAAGCAAAACCTTTAACATGTATTATTATTCATTCAAAATATTTCCCCGATTCTGATTGACTAAAAGCACAAGCATAATTCACCATAATCACCTATTGATGACCAAATTCGGAAGAATTTTGCGATTAATCAACCGATGACGTCAAAAGTGCAGCTTCCTTGCCGGTTAATGCACCGTTAACCAGAAGGGACCAGCGAGGTTGAGTTGTTTTAATTGTGAAAACAAAAATGGCGGACATTTCACTCGTTTCAAGACTGAGTAAGAACTAGGCGAAATAATAGCTGAAAACATGGCAAATCAGCAAGAAGACAACTCGAAGGGCGACATCTGCTATTTGGAGAATATTTGCGGAGCTGAACAACCCTAAACATGCAATATCGAAGATGATGATGTTTTTAAAATAGGAATTATTTTGAATAAATGATAAAACAATATTATTGAATTCTGCTTTCGTATCATATGAACTATGGAGATCTCGACGGATAACACCCTCCTCGATCTCCATAATTCTTCATAAGATACTCAGCCTCATTCATTAATTGTTAATTAAGGTACCTCAGTCAGTCCTAGCAGCACGTTCTTAACTGTGGTACAGACACGGATGCTTTGTCATGCAATCGTAACTTATACAACTAATCTATTTAATGCAAGTGATTTAAGAGCTCAACTTAAAATTATTACAAAACTTCTGTGTGAATAAAGTTTAACTTGGCAAAAAAACGATCGGCTGTGGGCGTTTTTCCCAAAGGGTCTGGTCAATTTGTATGTTCTAAGACATTTAATTGCTTTGATATCGCTCTAATTGCATAAAGCAGAAGACGAAACGGCCTTAAATTTCTCTTTCGCCAGAAAAAGTCACCATTCTGTAATTGGTGTCATTAGTCATATTGAATACCTTGAGAACCCGTTCATGTCGTATAAGTTGTGAAAAAAAAGACCTCTGGCCCCATCTTAGAATGAAAGCGCATGAATTACCGCAGGCAAAAGGGCTGCCATTTTTCAAAGTTGCATGCAAAGATTTTGTGACGACACGGTATGCATGATTTATTGCCGGTCCATGATACGGTATGTATGATTTATTGCCGGTCCATGATACGGTATGCAAGATTTATTGCCGGTCCATGACACGGTATGTATGATTCATTCCCGGTCCATTTAGTGAATGATGTGGTGGTTATAACTCAGAATTGGAGCGAGTGTACAGCAGTTTATTAAGGTATTTCATTCGTAAAGCTGAAATTTCGAATGTAAAGCTGGAAATCTAGATGTAGCCATTCAATAGGTTTATTGTATTTATTGGTGGAATTTCCAAAGGTCAAATCTCAAAACCGTGGTTGCGATTCACAGCGAAACATCGCATCCACAGACATGGCATCTGCTCAGGGAGGGACGTTTCCTTGACACAACCAGGAACGTAGTAAATTACACTAGAAAGTAGTCAATTAAACATTCCGTAAGCTTGGACATAGAGCTCTTTTAAGTGAAGCTTGGCTCGAATACTTGCAACTGCCTAGGCACAATCCTCATCGTACACTGCGCTCCATTATGCGCCTGTTATATAAATTTCTTGAGGGTACTTTCCAAGACTCGTTAACTACTTCATTTAAAGCCCTACCCGCAAAAGTAAGGCGGTTTCCAGACTTTAATACTTTTCATGACTTTTAAAAATAATCGTTTTACAATATTTTAAAGAGTAGGGCCAGTATGCGCTTAAGTCGAAACTCACAAGTTGTCTTGATAAGGTTTCTTAGTTATAGTTACTCGCAGTATTTATAGTATTTTATTTCATGAATCACACATTTTCTTTTGTTATTCAACATCCTTTATTTAACATACATACTTCATGAATATTTAACTAACTGAAAGTCCGGGGAGGGCTTGATAATGTGAGCTAATGTGGCAGGGAAGAGCGGGGCTGATGAATTGAATAAATTGCTAATTATAAATGCAAGGGCAATATCTATATAAATACCAGGTATTTATCCGTATATTGCCCTGCTGCCCTGACCCCTAACCTAGCCCTGTCTTTGGATATTACAAACGAGCAATTCTGGAACACAACACTGTTTGATCCTTTCACAGTCGCGTTGTTGTCATCTTGGCAAAATCTTTACTTACATTGCGTTCGACGGCCCATTCCTCCCAGCAACGTACCGCCCATGAAGTATTAACTTTCGTGTTTGTCGGTATTCTGGACTCTCTTCTCTTCTCGACTTCGTTATCATAAACAACAACCATATTACACCCAGGATTTTCTTTCTTTTCGACTTCAACACTATCTCGTTCGCTTACTTCTCTAAAGTCTCCCACTAACTCTTCCAAATTCAACTCAGGGGAAAAAGGCTCTTGAGAGAAAGTATTTTGCGTTAAGAAAATTTCGTCGTCACTATCCATTGCCGCTCTCACAAGTGTACTGGCCCCCCAAAAAATACCAAGACAAAAATAAAAAAAAAAAACACAAAAGGTTTGAAATTTGATTGCTGTCAGCTTAGCAAACAAACAATGCGCTATTGTTCTCCGTTTCTCACCTAAGTGAGAACGAGTGGTTTGAACAAATTATGACCCGTGAAACGCCCTTTCTCGATGCTGTGTGAAAGCCTTTACAATACTTTCAATGAAATACGTCATTGTCTTCGGTCGGATCAAAAAATGACAAACAAACAGATGTCAAAAACAAGTGGCCAATTATTGCCCTGTGAAAGACGACCTTTATGTAACCTATACCTCATGAATAATATCGTGAAATAAGTTAGATAAACCCCTCGAACGTCGGTATTAATCCATATATATCCCTCGGGCCTACGGCCCTAGGCTTAATACCTCCGTTCTAGGGCTTTATCTCTTACTTCGATCAGTTACAGTTTTAACAGTTTTTAAGGGCATTATGTAAACAGTTAGCTTTTGTAGTAACATTATGTAAGTAGTTAGTTTTTAGTTAGTATCATGACAGATGTAAAGCTACCATGCAGAAATACTGTCAATAAATGTTTGTTATTATTTACAATTGTTATTCATTATCATTGTTCTCGGATATCCGAAGATGAAAGAGCCGAACTTCTGACTAAAACTGAAAGGAAGAAATGCAAGAATACGCAAAACATATATTATCTGCTTTTTACTATACGGAGTATCTTCAAGAAAAAAGTCTGTTTTAGACGCAACCGAGCCAAAAAATAGGACAGAGTCGTAAAGAAAGTCCACGAGGAGATATGCTTGTTAAGAATAGAAATATTTTGGATGAGCAATAAAACAATTATTAAATCCAGCTTTCGTATGCTGTGGAGGATAATCCCGATCTGGAGGCTATTATTATTCGGCATTCTCCTCGATCTGCAGATTTCTTCACATAATATCTTAATATTTTTGGCCTCATTCAATACCCAGAGGGTACTCCCTCATATAATCCATATTGGTATGTGCCGTCCAGATCCAAAAGGGTATGGTTTTTGGTCCGGTCTCGTCTGAAAACTGTCATAGGTCTTGCCCAATCGGGTAAGGTTTTCGAGGGAACTACGGGAGTGTATGAACGTAGTTATCGTTTCAATTCCAAATGAATAAGAAAGAAAGAGAGATATGCGAATTCGAAATGGATTTTAAGAAATCTTTTTTGTAGGCGTTCTAATCTAAGTAATGATGGCATAATTTCTTAGAGGCAAGGTCTGAAAATGGATGTAAAAAATGACTGTTTTTGGCCTGAAATGGGGTCAGGATTTTTGGGAACCAGGCGGCACACCCCACCATGCATTTCCAGGAGTACACCCCCCAGATTCAATAGTTGGTAATTACAGTAAACAGCCGCTAATAAGAACGCGCAGAAAGAACCTCCTGGCAGAAATTTCCCACTTTAATACCCCAAAGTACAAGAACCTGTTTAGCCAAGCAAGATCAAACAGCCTTATAGATGGTTATTATGATAAACAATCTAACCAAGGAGTGTAACTTTGAATTGTAAATTTAAGCATATAACAACAATAATATACTGTGCTAAACTGTATATTAGTAAATTCGGTAATCAGTTTTGTTAGGGTTATAATAATAAAATTGTAAAAAAATTAAAAAATTATTTATTTTTTTGGTAATCAACAATCTACTATCCGCCTTCATAAAAATTAGTCTAAATTGCTAATAAGTACCCGAAAATAAAGGAACGTATTTTGCCAGCCTTTAAAACAAGTAAAGCTGAGTAGGTTCTAATTAGCGGGTGTTTACTGTATTAATATTTTGCTGCTAAACAGAAGTTCACAAAAACAGTAGCTTTCCTATCTCCTGCGCATGCACTCTAAGCCTTGTTCGGAAGTTATCAGCGGTTCCAAATCAAAAGATAAACAGTTCTCACAGCGCTCGCGGCGTTGATTTAAATTTGTTGTGGTACACGCACATATAGTATCTTCCACCTTGCAGTTACTATTTGCAAGGTAAAATGTTAGCATTTAGTCACGGAAACGTTGCCTCGTTCAGGTCTTTTGGCTGCCTGTTTTTTATTTCCATGCTACGTCTTGCATTTCATGCAGGTTAGTATGCACCAATGTTTCCAATTCCTCAGTGGATGGCTGCTGTCTGTTATCAAAAGAATTTTGATTGCCCAGAATTCGAGTTACTAGGGGGTAAAATATCTACACCATCTGAAATGTGGGAAATAGTAATGGGTGCTATTTTGGAGATAGAAGATTGTGTTGAACGGAGAATTGGGTATGCAATTTCTTGCACGCCTCCCACGGGAAGCAACTCAACTGTGACAACAGACTGAACTCACTGGCTAGGCGAGGTCACACGTACAAGTGAATTAAATCAAGTTAAGCTCTTTTTAATCGGTACCATTTTGCAACCGATCTGTGTATACCTTCCAAATAGCTGTCTATGGACCTACGTGAGTAATGATGCCAAGGATGCAGGAATTCAGTTTATGAATTTCTTCCTGCATGAAAAGGCACTTACAAATGTCTTTCATCGGGAATTTTGAGACCCTGAGGCATGAGGCGGAATTGTGTCCCACATCTCCATGTCGTTTTTGTCAATCAACCTCTATTTTGCACTATAGTTAGTTTAGTTACACGATACATTCATGCTAAGCTAAATTGTGCTGATATTAATCAGAGCGGGGACTCTGGTACTTACAAGTATAAGATAATTCATGTGTAAAATTATGTTATGGTTGAGTTCTATCTTAAGAGACATTTTCCTTTGTTTTAAATTCATTATCATACGATACCATACCCTCAAGCAAAGGAAAAAAACTTAAACCAAAGATAAAAAGGAACCTTATATATTACATATATCACCATGTGTTTCCTTCCCCCGCTTAAAATTTTCAACACTCGCTTACTTTATTTTTGTGACTCTGTATTTAAATTTATTTTTACAAGGCAAATAGTTATTTTTACAGCCATCAGAAATCCTAAAAAAGCCGAATGTATAAATTTTACGGGATATGAAATTTAAAACAATTATCTCTCCAACAACTAAGACTGGCGTTGAAAACTGTAAAAGTATTATATTATCGATTTATATTTGCCTCAATAAGCTACAATTTCTGAAATCCATTCGTTCTCTTTCCGGAATTTATTCCGACTGAATGGGCCCTTGTTTCTTTTATATATTTAACCCCTTCACTGCCAGAGTGCTTGATGGAGTTTTGTAAGGCGAGTCTAACTTTTGAGTCTGCAGACGAAATCCTATGGTGTGACCATTCAAATGAAAGCTCTCTGCCTGTACTTTCGTATGGTGCTATATGTTTGTCAAAATTGTAGCAAATAACATTTGGACATTTGGTCGAAATTTGCCTTTGGCCACATTTGGCAGTTAAAGGGTTAATTACATTTGCAAATGTCATTATTCAGTTGACAGGATAAATGGCCTTGAATGGCTTTAAATTCCTCAGTTTAGCCAATTTACCTCAGTTTTCTCCTATTTCTCCTCAGTGTCCTACCTTTAGTCTCCGAACTATTCCCACTAAACCTAATTTCGACCCGCAACAAAACGAATTGGCAGCCCGAAGTCAATAAGCTTTGAAATACCACAGTAACTGAACTATTTAGTGTTATTTGCGGGTCAGTGTTTGGGTAGGAAAAATTATTCAGCTGGCTGCGTCTAGCTCCATATAAATGTCACCTAAAAATACTGCCCCAGCCTCCTCTTTCCATGAATGCAAAAGATGAATTGCGTTGCTGAAAGTATACCGTCAAAAGAGGATGAACTAGGTCTTGATAAAGTGCGAAACAATATACCTCAAGTAGCGTTTTAAATAAGATGACGATACAGAAATAGTGGAACAGGATATTGTGGAATTTGGTGATAACAAGACGGCATGGTTGATAGCGGAGTGTAAGTTTGTACAAACACACACATTTGTTTTTCCGTTTACATGGCGGACGAGCCATTCTCTCGTTTTTGTTCTTTCGTGATACGGTTTGTTATCTCTCAAAATAACACATTGAGACCGAACTTTCAATAGGAAAATGTAGAACGCCTCCTTTGGATATTCACTTAGCTTCCATCTCGCATCAGAAATTTGAATACCTATTTGTCGCTTATAGTAATCCAATTATCTAGCTGAAGCATTTATCTTGGAATAGCCTACGTAGCAAGCGTTTTCGTGCGTTTTCAGAGCAATAACTGAAGCTATGCAAAGTGATTTGCATATATTAATAAAATACCCTGAGGATATGTAAATTATGATTATAAAGCGTCACGTTGGGCCCACTATAGGCTCCCTCCAGACTCTTCGTCTGGTTTGGGCTTGTCCCATTATAAAGAGAACTTTATCCAATGTATTGTAACCTTTTTTCTGCTTATTTACATATTTATTCATTCGTATTATTATCTTTTTTAACCTCTTTTTCCTTGATGTTGTAAATCTCTTTAATTTTTCTTTTAAGATGTGGAGTACCCACACTGCCTGCCTCGAATAGCTTTTAGCTAAATGTAGGCAGTGTGTATGATATTAAAATGTATTTATTTGCTTTTTAATAAAATTGTTGGTGTTGTTCCTTTGTGAACGTTTTGTTAATTTCCTTCGTTTTTAATTGTTACCCTCTCTTTCGCTTTTATTTCCTTTATGCGAAAGTCGATTTCCATTTAATTCGCGTTAATTTAAGTCGCGTTGATTTCCAATATCTTAATTTCGTGGAGCGTTAATTTCCTATAGAAGTGCCTCCCACCCTACTTCCCCCTCCCCGTGGGAAGGTGCCAGCTTATCAAACGGGATTTCAGGAGTATGTTTTCGAAATGTCTTCTTCCAGCCTTTTTATTTCATTCTTTTACTTACTCAATAGATGTGTCAACTCCAAGAAGTCCGGACTGTGAAATAAGTGCTTCTTGCTTCCACTCACAGAAATGTCAACCGCCTTCTCAGACAATAACAGTAACGCCGAAAGACTCTAAAGTGACTTCCAACTGCTCGATAGTGACCGGTGGAAAAGTACAAGACATGACTTGGCAGGATCTTAAAAAAATCCTCAATGCCAGTAAAGGCCTATTCTTACAACAAATCGATTCAAAAGATGGAAATGAGTCATGTAGATGTTTTTCTATACAATACGCAAGTAAGTATTTTCTCTCTTTGCCCCTTTTTGAATTCATGATGAAGCAAAAAACATGTGGCATTTTTTCTGTCTCATGTTACATGAATTATTGATGCGGAATCCAATGAAGGCCTCTTAACATTTCAAAGGAGATTTCAGTTCAGCTAAAGCAGTCTTTACGGTAAAAGTAATCGTTAAACTAGAAACGATACATTCGTTTTGTCCGGCTGAATCACGGTGCCTTAACTGAATAGGTTAGCATCGGAACCGATTTGCTAATTAAAAATCAACATCAAGGGCTAGGTTGGTCCGTATTAGGGAGGGGAGAGTGAAGGATAGCTTGAATACAGCTAATTCAAAATGTTTACCTCCAGTAAAGCGTAACTAGGCAAAACTGTGACCCAATAGAACTATGGGAATTTTTGAAGAACCTAATATTTGCATTTCCCTTTGGCTGCAGAAAACAAAAGCACGAAAACTGGTCTTGATACCAAGACCTTACAGTAATAATCTTCGCTGGCGTGCGATTTGTCCAGGAGTTGCTGTTTGAAACCTTTTACGCTGGCGAAATGCGGAGCATCTCGCAGCTTATACGTGTCATGCTCCCTCTTTTTAACTTTCATCAGCACCCCATTTTGCTCAATATTATAGTTACAGCCGTGAAGCGCGTTCTTCTTTTAAAAAGTCAGGATCATTGTACCCAAAGTTTCTTTCGGTCCCCGTATTACCTATTGCGTGTTTCAGCTGTAAACTGTACATTGTAACTGAGTGAATGACTTATGAGCCTAGGAAGTACAAGACTAAAAATTTGTTGTCAGTTCCAGTTCAGAAAGTATTTAAGACAAGGTCTCCCTTTGAGTACTCTTCTAACAAGACAACAATGGAACTGAATTGTACCTTCAAGGGATGGCCTCGTCCTCGTGTAGTTTGGTACAATCCAGATAAAAAACAAATCATCAACGGATCTGAAGGTTTTTACATCTCAGAGCAGCTGGATGGAGAGGATACCTTAACTTCCCTTCTTCGTAATGCTAATATCCAAGAAAAACACAAAGGGTATTATAATTGCACTGCAACGAACAACATTAGCGGCTGGTCAAGTAAAAAATCAAAGACAATTGAGCTGGATTATAGGTGTAAGTGGTCTGATTAGTTAGAGGTATGTTTAGAAGTGAACCCGGATTACTGTATACCAAGAGTCTGGAAGTGGGGGGGTGGTGGTCCTGATCCCGTATTCCCGCTCTTTTTCACCACAATCCCGCTCCCCGAACTTCTGTCATCTCTATCCCGAATACCGTTTTCTTTCAGATTTTTGCGAATCCCGCTTCCCGAGTAGCGGTCAATTCCCGTATCGGGTAAAGAAATTGGGCATTTTCCCGAATCCTGCAGTGTATTTCGGGCGAGTCCTGGATCCCGAGAATACCCTTCCAGACCCTGTACATACCCGTATATCGTTTTCTTTCACAATCTTGCATCTGTGCCCAAATTTTGGAGAATTCCGCTTCCCCAGAAGCATTCAAATTCCGTAAATTGTAAATATCTTATTATCCACTCCCATCAGGGCTTTTTAGGTATAATTTACAACACTGGTTGGGGGACTTTGCCAGACTGCTTAAGGTGCAGTTTACAACAGGGGGGCCCACGACTTAGCGAAATTTCGTGTACCTATGATCCACCGATTTATGACATCACATCCGGTTGGAGAGTTGCTGCTCTGTTTTCGCGCGAAGCACAAAGATGGACGCCCGATGCCATTTGGTTTTCTCGTTGTTTCTACCCACAGGCTAACGGAATTATGTATCTTGAATGCCGAGAATCTTGAGAAGGTATCTAGCCGGCCATTGAAGCAACTGTCATGACCAAACAAAGAAGATTTAGTATTGTTTTAACGATAAATATCATGCAGCTGCGGGGAATATCATGGCGAGTCTTGCGATGTTTCCGAACGAGTGTCGCTAACGTTTTGTGGCTGTTGCGGCCTCTGATTTAGAGAAGTCATCAATCAAAATATAATTTCCTGAGCGGAATAGAATGGGGAAAACGTCTATGGCCACAGTTTAAAGTGTTCACCGCTGGAAGGCTGTATCACGCCCCGTAAAGTTGCAGAAACTCCCACTCAACTGCATGGTTTTGAGGAATGTCATGGCGAGTCTTTCGCTGTTTGTAATCGAGCGTCACTCAAGAGTTTGGCTTTCGCGGCTTCTGATTCATCGAAGTCATCAATCAAAATTGCCTATCCTGAGCGAAATACCGTGTGGAACAAGCTTATGGTCACAGTTTAAAGTGTTAACAGCTGGAAGGCTTTGCCACTCGACGTAAAGTTTTTGCAGGGGCTCGGTCTTCTGCTGTTCGAACACCCTCTGGCATGGTGTCGCATAGTTAAGGTTAGTAGGTTTGCCGATCCAGGATTTTTCTTTTAGTGCACGTGAGAGAATTACAAGGAACGTAGAGTAAAGAAATATTAGAGTTATTCAATGTTAGAGAGTGAGGTTTTGTTAAGAGAATTAGATATCAAATTTTTTAAATGGTTGATGAAAGAGGAATTCTTAAAGAACAGGTGGTACTATTAGGAAAGTAGCCTGAAATTCATCCGATTGCTTCGAGTCGTTTTCTCCTCTCAACAACGTCTGAATCGACCAGCCGTTAATGCCGTCCAGTGACGTCACTCACTACCCGAAAACCGGGTAGTGATTTTGATTGGTTGATTGTCTCTACATTCGCATAATTATGTATAATTATGAAAAATTTTAGCGGGATTGTCATTTGATATTCAGCGGATCGCATCCCTGGCATTCTTTCGGTTAGTTCAAACATTTCTATGAGCTTAATCTTTATCTTAAACGGCAAAATTGCCCTTGTCTTCGGAACTGAAATGTTAAATTGAACTGCGAATGAAGAATCATCGCGGAGAGTCGGTAGGTGAGTTTTCATTCAGAGCCGCTTTGTGGTTTCGGCGGCCGGTGATTTTGTTTACGCGAAGTTTTCTGAATTTTAATTCGACCTTCTTGCTATTTCACCGTCAAGTGTGATGATTCTGTTAGCTTTTCTTTCTTTTCTCCTTGTTTTTTTCTTCGTTAAGGACCAAATAGCTTCTTTTCAATTAAAGCAAATCATTTTGTTTTTGAACTAAGTGTTCCGTGTGTGCTTTTATCATGTTTTATTTCATTGCGTGATTGCGACCGAGTTTGAATATAGAATTTAGTACAACCGGTCCAGAGTTGTACCGCATGCAGTTGATTGTTTGAACGTTAAACATGAACTACAATCGAAAAAAATAAAGCAGTTCTGTATCTTGCAGACATTTCCAAACGATATTTCTCGGTTTGCCACTTGAAAATCGTGTTTTGCATTTTGCATGAATTAAAGCAAAGGTCAAGGAGTAGTGACGTCACTGGACGGCATTAACGGCCGGTCGATTCAGACGTTACTGAGGGAGTAATAACGACTCGAAGTAATCGGATGAAATTCAGGCTATTAGGAAAGGGCAGTAAAACATCCTAAAGAACTACCCTTTTTCTCACAGCACTTTCTACTGGATCTCTAAAACTGTATTTTATTGGGTAAGAAACACATAAAATAGAAAAAATGTGACAGAGAATAGGCCGTTTGCTTTGGGAGGTGGTGCCTCAAGAGAGGTAGAGATATTAAGAGGGGCTTCAGCCAAGAAGAAGGACAATATCATAACCAAAACAATAATCTTGTTGATTAATTATTATTACTAGTAGTCTTTTTGAGTGCGATATTATACCAGAAAGATACCACATGCCTGCAATTGCTGTGATCATAATTTATTGTTTTAGAGGGAGGCATGCAAGGTTTTTGCTAAGGGGATTTAAGGGGTGGTAACAGCACACCTCCAGGCAGACTGCATAGCTGCATGGTTGCTTATGGGGGATTGTGAAACTTAATGACAGCAAACTTAATTTGCACAGATAAGCAAAATTACATTGCCAGTTATTTCTCTCTGTGTAGTAGGGGATAGACAGTTCAATTACGTGTGAAGGACTGGAAGTATATTTTTTTGCCACTTTTCCCTTGCTGAGCCTTAAAATCTATATTGTAAGACAGTTGTGCATAAGGGATATTTGCATTGTTTGATTCTAGGATCCTTAAAAGTTGTAAGGAGAGAGGGTCTCCATGGCCAAAACAAACAAAAAGTATGTTATAAGAAACTTGAATGAAATTTCTACATGGTAGGGAGTTGTTGGGAGAAAACGGCCTCCCTGGAAAAAGAAAGGATATTTTTTGTTCTGTAACATGAAACTTTCATCTTAAGACTTGCACTTTTTGTTACTAGAAACAGTACATGTAAGCAATGGAACCAAGATTTGAAGGATACTGCAATAATTCACTTCAGTAGAATGGTTTTTCTTTCTCCTAGTAACAATGTTTTTACTCGGTAACTTTTTAATAAGGTTGACAGTGGTCTTCTTTTAGTACAATATCTATGTTGAATGGCATGCCTGAGGGGGGAGGGGGGGGAGGGGTATGTACCTGTAGCTGGTGGGGCAAAAGGGAGTATCCAACAGAGAGTTCAAACCTTTTTAGGAGAAACAGTCACCCAGTGCAGCCTTGAGTGAGCCAGTGATCATTTTTTTTTTCTTTTGGCCATACATGGACGGTATATTTATTTTTTTCTTCATACTTCAATTTAAATTTTTCCTGTTTTTTGGGGTATGAAAATGTATGATAAGGAGTATGACACAAAGGAAAGTAAAATTATCCAGGGATAAAATTGAACCTCAATAATAACGATATACAGCTGTGTATAAATTATTGGTATGTATACAACAGTTTTTCTTGTAGTGTTAAAGGAAATACTGAACTTTTATTCACCTACTTTATTTGATTGATCAATGATATTATTATTGTTCTAAAAAAAGAAACATCAAAATATTATCAATAAATTACATGTATGAATTTTAGAAACATGCAAACCAGCCCTGAGACATTCAAGCTGTATTGATTTCCTTTTTCCCAAAAAATATCCACATTCCTTTTTATTGACTAACGTCTTTTGATCCTGTATTTGGCTCAAAATCTTATTGCTTAGATTCACAATGCATTCTTGATTCTTTTCCAGTATCTACTGAAAAATACAGTCTAGGTATGTTGTAAATACCATCTCTTTTTGGTTGTATCCTCGACAACAGGCTTTCAATGCAATGTTCCGAGTTGTTTTAACACACAATCCCCCAACAAGTGAAGGTCTAGGAAATATTGGGTAAATGTAGATAATTATAAACATCATTTTTGTGTCAAAAAGTGTTTACACTCCTATTTCAATCTTCAAACAGCTTGATTTGCATGAAAAGAGTATTTTTTTATTGTTCAGTAGCTCTAGGCTCAAGTTCATGTCTTGATCCCATCAATGTATGTTCACTTTTAAACAGAGGTTTCAGTGGTTTCAAAACAAGCTGGTGACCACTGGAGTTCCATCGGCTACTTCATTGTTTATTGCCAGCAATTCTGTAGTCCCCCCCCCCCAGCCTCCAGATACTTTAAAACATTTTGAAATCCCTGAAGTTTATGTACTGACGATGAGCTAGTATAATTTTACAAAGGAACCCTACCAAAGGATCAGAAAGCCAAGCCAAGTAGTGTACCATAAAGACTGATCATCTCAAAACCCACCTCCTATTCCATGGCACATACCTGTATAGAAGTACTACAACCTTCTCCCTGGGTGTTAAAGTAACAATAAAGAGGGGTTTCAGGTGTAGCCTCTTGTCTTTGTTTTATTTTTCTGATGTTTGCTACAACCTTTGCTCCTCTGTAGGGAAAGATGGTTTGGCAAGAGGAAAGCAGAAGACAGTTTGATGAAAGGATTTATTAATTCACATTTTACTATTCCATCTGTTAAGAGGATTTTCTAAACAGATCATTTAAATAGTCTGGAATTCATTAAAGCTGACAAAAAGCACATGCTGTTCTTGTTGTTCCTTTATAAGACAGCCTTAAATAAATTGCAGGTCTGAAAGATGGAGTTGTAAATAATCTCATCTCGCTGTGTTAATTTTTGATAATCTTTTTTTCCATCAAATTTAATTACTAGTAAAAACCTGCAACTAAGAACCTGTATTTTCCCAAGTTAGCCTAAACAAGTCAGGTTCTTACATAAAAACCAATTAGCACAGATTTAGGCTATTTAGGTTCAGTCTCAAATACGTCCTTATTTTCTGAAAAAAAAAAATACTTTGTAGCTTTGAGCTAAAAGTATTTAGTGGCATTCAGCTCTTTCCTTAGTATATGTAAAACCTGTATACCATTGCATTGCAGTCGGAGTATTAAATGATAAATATTATTAGACACCTATGTCTCAAAAGAGGACCCTGTATGTTGACTTATCTTACTTTCCCAAGTGTACACTGTGCAGAAGTTTTTTCTAAGAGATTTTATAAATAATGGTAATAGGACTGAGTGGAGTCCAATTCGGTCTGTAATCATACACGTGTTACAAAATTGGACAACCACGAAGCAGGAGTCGGATTTGTTTAATCATGAGTATGATTACAGATTGAATTGGACAAAACAAAGTCCTGTAACCGTTACAATTTCCAAGAAAATATATGCATTCCTTTTTGGACAAATAGCATTTGTTCATACTAAATGTCCAAAATAATTAATAATTACTGGTGGATACACTGCCTATATGTTGCATATTCATCCATTTTGGATTAATCCCCAGTTAGTTTGGGTAAGTGATTGTTGCTATGGTTATTGTAATAACTTCTGTGATTGGTGGATTTAGCTGAGTGCACTTAATATGATTGGCTAATGTAATTGTCTGATTACAGGCAACTGTCCGACTACAGCCAACTGTCTGATTACAACCATACACAATGATTAAAGAAAAATAAAGCAGTTAATGCACCAATCAAATTTGAGGACATTGTAATGGTTATGATTAATAACCTGTTTCAAATTTGAGTGCTCTTTTATAAAGACAGCCTAGCTGGAAAATTAGCCTGACAGGTTCTTAAAAACCAGTTTCTTAGTTGTGGATTTTTCCTGTATCCTTGTTGAGCTTAATACTGCACATCACTATGCTGGGTGTCAGCCAATCCCTTTTTTGTTTCTCCATGTCAAAGAGGTCAGATAGGGAATTTACATTTAGTCTTCTAGACCATGGTGCCTTTAATAGAAAGCTTTCTTCTCCTAACCAGGATCATATTAACAATCCTTTACTCTAACTGATTAATTGAAGGATGAAGAACACTAAGGGATGAAGTTGTCATAACACAACCACCAACTCCTTTCCACAGGAGGAACAGAATGCCTAGGGATGGAAAATAAACATGCAAAACTGATTGAAGTATAGAGAGTATGCACATGACGTCACGGCGGCCATGTTGGTGTCCCAAACTAATCCTGTGGCAGTTGAACTCTTTTCTTATGCAAATGATTTCTTTTGTTCCAATAAATTTGCATAGATGCAAGCCATGTGAGTGAATACTCTCTATGAAATTCAAGCTTAGTTTGGTTTCCTGTAGTTGCATTTAGGGTGTTTGCCTTCTTATCTCCAAGGGAAATATGTGCAGCAGACAGTGCTGCACACCCCCTCCCCCCCTAGAAACCTTGATTTCTTCAAAGCTTCCTAGTGCAAGATCATTAGTTTCAGTCTTTCCTGTGAAGTTTTTTAAGTCTTACCACAAAAACTACAGTTAACACAGTTGTCTAGTTAAATATTACTGATCCCTGACAAGAAAGTGAATGTCAGGGAAACAGACACTTATCCTTGAGGTCCTTGAAAGAGAGTTGGCATGTAAAGCCAGGAAATGTCTTACCAAGGACCAGCTTCGAAGCACGCTACTGTACACTGGCCTAGACACTGTCAGAGGATTCCATCCAAACAGAATTGACATCCTGAACCAGCTTAACATGATTTCAGTGTCTTCTGTTGCTGCAGATTTTCTGCAAACCAGAAAAGTGTACTCCTTGAAATGTCACCATTCTTCCTTCCTTTCACCTTTATTATTTGACAGTGAGTTGTACTCAACATTTATTAACAACATTTCTGTCCTCATTGACTTTTATCTCTTCATGAGTTGTGTGGTAGATATACTTTTTAATACTTCTTGATATTCTCTTGTTTGTGCTCTTCTGTCATCTATTTTTGTCTTCCCAGCTAAGCAAAATAAAATACATAATTTAAACATTAATGCCCAGAGGACTAGCCTGTGCCACAGACAGAACTAAACTTCTGGTTAAGTCCCCCTGTGAGACAGCACTGAAATCCTGATTGTGGGCACCCCCTGGCAAACCTGTAAACGAGCACTTGCATATGTGCTATGATTGGCCTGGTAAAAATACCATTATTGAAGGGAATATCGAAACACATTGGGATTGGGAGCCCAGAATATTGGCACGGCTTTGCAGATGTTACTAACTGGCAATAGATTACGTCTGCAACACAGGCTACACTGACAACCAGACTTACAGTGTAGGTTTTAAATATATATTGTTTATAAATTCAAAAGTAAGCTTATATTCAAGTCTTTAAAAATACGCAAAATTCATTTTTTATACCTTAGATAATCATCAAATAAAATAAGGTGCAGTACAGCATTATGAATGAACCTAACTGAAACTTATTAATAATTCATAAAATGCAATTTACATCAAGAAATACAAGTAATATTTACGTTGCCAAAATATGTGTTTTGCTGCAGGAAAAACTTATACTTTTCTTCTAACATGTTCTAAAGTAACTAGACCTCTTATTGAGTCTCATATTACACCTCTAGTGATCCCTCCAGAACTTCAAACCTCTAAAACAGTTAAACCAGCAGTTTGTTTTTTCACTTTATAAATTCCACTCTTTTTTACTTTACTAATTAATTACATAACTATAATCACTGTAAGTCGTAGTATGTTTTTTTTTAGCTTTAAAGGTCAAGAACCAATCAACACATGTTCGGGAGCGATTTATTTTTAAATAAGTGTTGTAGTTATCAGTTAAGATAAGGGGTAGTTTCAAACTAGTCATTTTAACAATATGACTAGTAGTGCATAAGGGTTTCTTTTCATGTATGTTACACTTGCCAGCTTAGAAAAAAAGGAAGGCCACAAACTTTCTTGATTTCTCTCAGATAATGACAAATTGGACTACTTTTGGGCTTAACTCTTGTTCTAAACATAAATCTTCAAGGGCTAAAAAATCTTTCAATGCTAAAAATCCAACACTAACCTTCCAGAAGCTCGCAACATGTGACCGTTTCGAAACCAGTTGAGTAGAGCTTTCAGCAACTTTACGTCAACTGGCAAAGCCTTCCAGCTGTTAACACTGTAACTGTGACCATAGCCTTTTTCTCCACGGTACTTCGCTCAGGATAGTGTATTTTGATTGATGACTTCGGTGAATCAGAAGATGCAGAAGCTAAAATCTTGAGTGACGCTCGATTAGACACAGAGAAAGACTCATCGTTACATTGCTCAAAACGTACAGTCGAGAAGAGCTTTGAGCAATTTTACGACGAGTGTTAAAGCCTTCCAGCAATCAACACTTTAAACTGTGACCATCAGCTTTTTCTCCATTCTATTCCACTCAGGATAGGCTATTTTGTTTGACAATCTCGGTAAATCAGAAGGTACAACAGCCAACCCTTTGAGCGGACACTCGTTTTGAAACAGCGAAAGACTCGCCATGACAGGACAGTTGGGTAGAGCTTTCAGCAACTTTACGTCCAGTGATAACGCCTTCAAGCAGGTGACACTTTAAACTATGACCACCGGCGTTTTGCCCAATCCATTCCGCTCAGGATAGGCAATTTTGATTGATGACTTCGATGAATCAGAAGTCGCAAAAGCCAAACTCTTGAGTGATGCTCGATTACAAAGAGCAAAAGACTCGCCATGACATCCCTCAAAACCATGCAGTTGAGCAGAAGTTTTTGCAACTTTACGGGGCGTGATACAGCCTTCCAGCGGTGAACACTTTAAACTGTGGCCATCAGCGTTTTTTCCATTTTTTTCCGCTCAGGAAATTATATTTTGTTTGATGCCTTCTCTAAATCAGAGGCCGCAAAAGCCGCAAAACGTTAACGACACTCGTTTTAAAACATCTCAAGACTCGCCATGACATTCCCCGCAGCTGCATGATATTTATCGTTAAAATAATACTAAAACTTCTTTGTTTGGTCATGAAATTTGCTTGAAAGGCCGGCTAGATACCTTCTCAAGATTCTAGGCATTCAAGATACATAATTCCGTTAGTCTGTGGGTTAAAATAACGAGAAAACCAAATGGCATCGGGCGTCCATCTTGGTGCTTCGCGCGAAAACAGAGCAGCAAGTTTGCAACCGGATGTGATGTCATAAATCGGTGGATCATAGGTACACGAAACAAGTACCGGGCGCTATTGGAGTCGTGGGGCCCCCCTGGTTTCCCCCCCCATACATGAGCGTATGGTGGCAGACCGTATCCTGTTTAACGTTGCCCGGATCCCACACTGTATTTCAGTCAAATCCCGGAGCCTGGAAATACCCTTGTAGATCTTGTACATGCCGTCAGACCAAATTGTCACGGGTGAAGTTGACATTCTTTCTTTCCGATCAGGTCTTAACATGAGCAGGAGAAATACAGCTCTTCGGTTGCCCTGCAGTCAACAGACATTCCATTCAGAGAGAATAATAAATCCTTAATGACTGGTCCAGAGGGAAACAAACAATTTTGTTTTCCTGGAATCTCAATGTTTTCCGAGGCGAAACCGTGGAAAACATTGAGATTCCTGTTTTTTTATATAGCTAGAAATTCATTAAACCTAGCTGTAAAGGCGGTCGTTGGTCAACATTCGCGGGTAACAGTGCACTGTTACCCTCTGACGTCATACATTTTGCAATGTTGCTCGCTCAGAGATTTTGGCGTGAAACAGTTTCATTGTTAGATGTCATGTGACCTCGAAGTAACCAATGAGAGCGCGCGCTGTTAAGAAGATATTTCCAGCCATACAACAATAGGCCACTTCCGGGCTCCAAAAACCCTCACCTTCAAAATGAGGCCAAGTGCAAAACCTTTCTCGTGAAAATGAGCTTTATTTACATGAGAATGAAAAATCATTTCCATATCAAAGGCTGAGCACTTAACCTCGTTTTGATACAGAGGCCCGGGGAACTGGGAAATGGCCTATTACGGTATGTAAGATATTAGCTGCTTTCAGAAGCCTTATATCTCGCTAAATTTTAAGTTCACTGTCGATTATGAATGTCTCATCCCTCGAAACGGTGAGAAAAAATACGTCGCTTGTGTATAGCCACGGCTGCCTCAGACAGTTAACTTAAAAGATAAACTAAACATTTCTTGCCACTACCCTCTTCCTCTCAGAATCTAGGGATCCTTAGCTTATTTATTTATTTATTTTAGAAAAATAATAGATAGTGTGAATGTCTTCTTTTTGTGCGGTCACTGATAATTATCACGCATAAAAAGCCTATCCTTTGGTTATAATAAAACATAAATAATAAATAAATGGTTGATTAATTAAACAAAGTGCTGGGCTGTTCATCCGCCATTCTGGATCGAATTGAAGTTTGGAAATATTGCTTCAATTTTTTGGAGAGGGGATAACCGGAGTACACGGAGAAATCTCTCGGAGCAAGGGAGAGAACCAATGACAAATCAAAAACCCACGTGTGGCTTCGCCTGAAGAGGCTACATTCGTGAGAGTGTTCTCCCTAAAAAAAAAAAATAGAAAAAAATTCTCAAAAACAAATAATCAGGGGGATGATCGACTGGGGGACAAAAAAAATCCCTAGGGCTTCTAACAACCCCCCCTCCCCGAAAAAAAAATTCCTACAAAAAAGTAACCCCAAAAAATCCCATGCCGAATTGCTGAGACTTAAAAATATCGCGAATGTTTGTTTTTGTTTATTCATCATACCATCCACATCTGGTGGTCGTTCTAACAACACTCGAGACACTAGGAGCCCAAGAACATTTTGAGTACCCCCAAAAAATCCCTACTTAAATCAAGCCACCCAAAAAATACTTGCTAAATCTTCTTACCCAAAAAAAACCAGAATCGAAAATTTCAAACCCCCAAAAAATCCTTCGCTCATCCCTGTCACTTGAAATCAAGAGTACCTTCCTGGGGCATCGCGTTGCCTCATTTATTGTCACCAGGAGCCTATCAAATTTGATGGGCTCCTGTTGTCACAAAAAGGGGGCACGATAAGATAAAGGCTGTAGTCCTTTAAAGTTGCACAATCGCACGGCAATGATCTTTAAATAGTATGTGATTTGTTCATAATAATATCTGCCACGTATCTTCCAATTTATGCAGGTACCGGTCCTAAACATCCGCCTATTTCTCCTCCCGAGGTTTCAGTGACAGCCTACAACAACGTCAGTTTAAAGTGCTTGGTCGAAATACATCCTGACGATTGGGAATGCGCAAATTCAATGAAACTTCAGTGGTTTTTTAACAACAGCTCAACGCCATTAACACGTGGTGAAAAGTATGATATACAAAAAAGGAGAACTAACAGCAGATGCAAAACAGATTTCATTCTCACCATAGCTAATGTTACTGATGATGATGACGGAAAGTATAAATGTCAGTGGATCTGTGCCAAGGACGACTCCAGTTCCGCGTCTTTTATCCAGTTGAACGTATTTTCAACAGGTATTGTTTCCTCTACAAGATTTCTCTAGTGACTTCTCCAAATTTTACTACACATTGAATGATTTTTTAAACAATCATGCAACTAAAAAAGGTCTTCTCTAAACGCAAACTCGAGCGGTTTTCCAAGACATGGATCAGTAACAAGTGCGATAAGAAAGTCAATTAAGTAAAAAACTGGTCGTTGAGTGATAGATCATTTGAATGCGTTTAACAATTGGGCTTTTTCTTTTTTCAGAACCAACAACCGAGACCCCTACTGGGAACACACATTTTCGAAAAAGTAAGTTTTGATCACTATAATTTTCGGATCACTAGACTTTCAGCTAGAAAATCCGAACAGATGAAACATGTTTGGGCTATAAAAATGTGCCTTTATCTACTTTTTAAATGCTAAAATGCGTTTAACAATGCTATGTTTAAGTGGTTTTGAACTATATTCTCGTTGGGTGCCCCTGTATAACTAAAAACACAACTACCCGTTATCTCCACCAATCATTTTCCGCTAGGCTCCTTCCGTTGTGGACAGAATTGTGCCACCTGTCCATACATTACTAACGGTCTTACAAGTTATACCTTTTACGCAACAGGTGAAACACGCTCCATCACTTCACACATTACTTTTAACACTAAAAATGTGATCTACATGGTTCAATGTAACCGTTGTAATTTACAATGTATAGGTGAAACTAAGCGACGTCTCAAGGACAGATTTAACGACCACAGACGTGCAGTCGACAAAACTAACATTAATCTAAACCCACTACTGTTTGTGAACACTTTCTCTCTCACTCTAACCATTCTCATACTGACATGCAGTTAATCCCACTAGAGAAAATTCACTCTTCACGTGACTCAGTTCGTAAGGCCAGGGAGTCGCATTTGATAGATAAGGCCATGACTCTTGAACCTCATGGCCTAAAACCGCCGTGACGAATTATTGTAATCCATATCCTTAGTATTTTTCCTTTCCACTTTTTATGTTGTACGTCATTTCCGCCTCTCCCTTTTATTGCGACATTCTCCATCTATATAATATTGTGATTGCTACATAAGTTCAGTAACATCTGTAAACCTGAAGAAGGTTGGTATGGCCAGCCGAAATATTGTTATAAAAAACAATACACGTTCTTTTAAATCAGCTTTGCAGTAGTCTTTGGACTTCTCGTTCTTGTCTTTATATTTGGCTGATTTGATCTCTTTTCTAGAGATCCAACGTTTACAACTAGCAGGATCTTCGTCCACGGTTTTTAAAGTTAATTTAATCCACAAAACAATACCCACACAACAACACAGGCGAACCAACTATAGTTTCTGCAACACTAAGAAACACTCCACAAAACAATACCCACAGAACAACACACAGGAGAACCAACAATGGTTTCTGCAACACTAAGAAACACTCCACAAGACAATACCAACATAACAACACACAGGCGAACCAACAATGGTTTCCGCAACACCAGGAAACACTCCACAAAACAATACCCACACAACAACACACAGGCCAGCCAACAATGGTTTCTGCAACACCAAGAAACACTCTACAAAACAATACCCACACAACAACACACAGGCCAACCAACAATAGCTTCTACAACACTAAGAAACACTCCACAAAACAATAGCCGCACAACAACACAGGCGAACCGACAATGGTTTTTGCAACACCAAGAAACATTCCACAAAACAATACCCACCAACAACACAGGTGAACCAACAATGGTTTCTGCAACACCAAGAAACATTCCACAAGACAATACCCACCAACAACACAGGTGAACCAACAATGGTTTCTGCAACACCAAGAAAAACTCCACCAAACAATACCAACACAACAACACACAGGCCAACCAACAATGGTTTCTGCAACACCAAGAAAAACTCCACAAAACAATACCCACACAACAACCCACAGGTGAGCCAACAATGGTTTCTGCAACACCAAGAAAAACTCCACAAAACAATACCCACACAACAACACACAGGCGAACCAACAATGGTTTCCGCAACACTAAGAAACACTCCTTACTTTTGAAGATGTGACGATTTGATATTTTCCCTTTTTATTGCTTTCAGACACTCCCGCTCCCAGCCACAGGAAATGGATCCTACCTGTCATTATTTTCTCATCCGGAGTTGTCCTGGGTCTAAGCTTATCAGCTTTGTACGTGATAGTAAAGAAAAGGAAAAAGCCGCCATCATACGAGATGGTATACAGGGAGAATCTGCTCGACTGATTGAAGTGTGACCTTGTGTATTTATACATTTGTCACAGAAGTTTTATAAATTTTGACTTTACTTTCAGTTTAAGGAAACATTACTAGAAAATTAGCCCGAGTTGAGACGGGTTCATTGTTGAATTTGCCATGTGCTCTTTATTTGCGTGAACGGATCTAGTAAGTGTTACGCGAATTGCTTTTGACTGAGACATGTAAGAAATTTACTTTAGCCATTTAAACTATTTTTTCTCAAAGCAATGATTTTACTAGGAGTTTTAAGCAATAAAAAACATAGACTAGGAAGACCATGGAATCAAAGATTAGTCGGGAATTGGGACTAAGTACATAAAAATAAATAAAATGTCCTAGTAAACAAAAAGAAAAGAAATTTTTAATAATGTCACTTAGTAGCAAAAAGCCCTTTACTTTAAATTTACAAGTGTTTATTGACAGGCTGTCACTTCAGTCACTTTTACGGCACGATGAATGAGTAGAAATTATTGTTGGCTACGGTTTTTTGTAAAACATACGGGTTTTCGAATAAAAGTTTGCAAGAAATTATTTCTCTGTCTTTTATATAACATTATTTGAAAACACGATCGTAAGACTGCAGCATCTAACCTGCATTCATGCTTCGTACTCTACCATGATAGCCCTTCTTTGAAGAGATGTCTTCGAATAGTCAGTCCTGACACAATTTTTACTTTCAAGTTCTGTATTGAGCACTTTTCGATAAGAAGCTAATTAATTTCATTAGAAAATTTGTGTTACTTCTTATTCTAGATTGATAATAAGCCAATTTTTAAAGCTTATATGGCCTGAAAGTTCATGATACCGCTCATATGGTCACTCAAACATGTACCGTTTGTTTAGCGAGCTCAAAGTACTTCCTGCAGTCGCCATCGTTGGTTTTTAAAAATGCAGCCAGTAGGGTAGGCACCATCCGGATTATTGTCCTTAAACAAAGAAAAACCTTATTATTATTATTATTGTTATTATTATTATTATTATTATGGTTGTTGTTGTTATTATTATTATCATTATTATTTTATTATTTAAATTTTACCCTTCTAATCTTAATTTTAAGAGAATAGGGATGCCAAATATGTTTACCTCTATTACTGATGGTGACCATTAAAAAGCGTAGGGCATGAATTACGATCCACGTAGAACACGCCGTATGATTTCTGCATTTCAACAACATCAGCTGCTTGTAAGAGGATCAATTAAAGTGCTTTCATTGAGCGTCTAGAAACCTCACGAATTACATGTTTATCGAAAACTTTGAAAACAAACTAAAAGGATTGTGGTAAAAAGACTTGGGGGAAACCTAATTGTAATCCATTCCCAGTGATCAAATTCTTTCCTTCCTGCTTTCAATATTATGAAAACCCACCAAATGCAGGAACTTTAAACAGTAATTGGCTTTTCCAACTCTAGAATGATCTAGGACATCCTTTTAAAGAGCAGACATATGGCCTTAACTTACGTGTATTTCACTCGGCAAATTTAAGAATTTTTTATTTTAATCATTATTTTATAATGTTATTAATTAATTTATTTATTTCGGAGGGGAATAGTTGTGATTCCCATATAAATGGATCCGCACAATTCAATGTTTTAAAACTTTTAAACCTAATACTCATTGAAGTTTAATCGATCGACCGATGTCCCATAGAGTGGCGTTCACGCGTTCTGAGTCTGATAACGACCTCGTACAAGAATAGAAAGGAAGCAGAATGTAGTTATCTTCTTAGGCAACGTGATAGGCTTTTGGAGGGGAATGAAATGGTAAAATTAACGACCGCGAAGGCCAGGCATTTTGGAAACCACCCTAGCTACCTCAAGCTTGGAGAATTATGTATATGTTGTGGTTCAGTTTTATCCTTGGTTTAAATTATATATTCAAGGGCCTTGTCTTGGGGTATGGTAGTATATGATAATGGTTTCAAACAAAACAAAATAAATTTAAACCAAGGATAAAATTGAACCACAAAATATTTTCTGATATTCTGTCAGGCACGGTCTGGATCTTTCAGGGAATAACTCTAATGATAGTGGACCTTTAATTGTTAAGAACAGCATTAACTAGATAGCTTAAATTAGGACGCCTTCTTAAATCCGGGCTTGAACATATTTATAGTGAGCTGAAAACACATTCTCAGACATTATGAGCGGATTTCCCACTCCTTTTTCTGTGAATTTTTTTATTATATTTAACGAACCATCAGTAAAATGAGTGGCACACTACATAGCTGGCAAGTGTCCCAGCCGCTGGTGCCTTTCTGAATTTTCTGGATCGGTCCCTAGACATCTGTGTCATTGCTTTTCTGAATAAACAAGGTCTAGTAAACAACATTGTTTGACAACTAAATAACCGAGACTTTCGAATTTACCCATAAAATGTAGCATTTCATGATTCAGGGAATGGCTACATTCGAAGCTATTCTACCTTTTCTGCAAACTGATGTGTTTAATATGCAGTATTCTCTCTCAAAAAGAGGCCGTTAAAGATAAATATGATGGGCGGCGTAAGTGTACCATTCATGTTGTATGATTCATTGTTTTCCCCAAATAACTTTAAACCTCGTGTCAATATGAGGAAAAATTATCTTGTTATTAAGGAACAAAAACTAGAGAAAGAAGTCGTTTTGATGTTGCGATACCATCATATTCAAGTGCTCAGCAGCGTAAGGTGTGGGCAATAACTACGTGAAGTGAACTGAGCATTATTGAGCGTGCGGGGGTACGTATCATCAGATAAAACCGATATATTTCTTCCACTGATCGAAAAATGATGCTGAAAGTCTCCTGGAGGGGGTATTCGCTATAATGTCCTTGAACCATCACGGATCACAGGGGTATCATTAAAGAAGGTTTAACCCATCACAAAGCGCAGTAAAACCAACAACAACATCAAGGCATTACCTATTCTCTTAAAAAAGTAAATAATTATAATTAATTGGTTAAGTTACCTTTGAAATTACATGATCGTGTCTACAATTCATAATCTCAGAAACTAGAAACTACCTAGCTGGTAAATAAATGGTAAATCTTTAAAATCTCAGGCAACTCTCACGTTCGCGGCAAACCGCTGTCACAAAAACCGGAACAGGTTTAAGTTCGAAGAGGGACGCGTGCGAGATTAAGAAGGGGATAAAATCGCCCCCGAGTGTCTTCAAATCCCGTTTTACCAGAATCAGTAAGTCGGTTGTTACACCAAAATAGAAGATGATGTTCATTATGCGCATTGAATGCTTTATCTTCTTTCAATTATGGTTTCTCGAGCTCACAATTGCAAGTTTGTCAAACTGCCACTTTCATTGGGATGGCCATTAAGTTCCCACTTTTTCTAGAAAAACTGGTGAAAGTTTCCTTTTCAACGAGCATTCATTTCGATTCCGCATGTGAAGACTTATCCCCCGGCTTCACGCAAGGCAGAAGTGAAGCCAAGCATTACTAACTGGACCAAGATGATGAGAAGATAAAACTAAGATTCAGAAAATTTGTGCATTTTTGGAAAATAGAACTCCCTATAGACTCGTGCTAAGATGAACTAGAAGAAGTCCTTGGTACTCAAAATATACACAATAAAAAAAAACAAAACCGTGAAGTCCTCGTTTCAGTCTAATACAATTTGCCCCTTAGGGTTTTTTTTTTTTTTCATAATTTATGCGTACATGACTCGTGAATATTAGACAGAATTTGGAATAAACAGTTCTTAGAGTGAGAAGTTAATGCCCTTCTACTTATTTCCACATCGCTTCCTCCTTGGGAGTGGTTTTCCTGTTTTGCGGTTTTAAAAGAAGAATTATCAGAAGGTGGTAATTGGCGTTTATTCCTTCCTTCTCTAAGTGGGCGGTAAGTCTTGCTAACGCTACTTACTTAATCCGTTTTGTAAATTGAATTATAAGAATGTAGCAAATGTGTTCGTCATTCCTCCACTTGGTTGTTTTATTTGTTTTTGCCAAGAACATTCCAGCCATTTAAACAAATTACAAAACAAAAACAAGAAATGCTGACTGGAAAAAGTAAGTTGTTACAGAACGTTTTGTAAGCATTAGTATCACGAAAAACAACGAAACCAGACAAACAGGACCAAGTTAGACAAATTCCCGCTTTCACGTTTTTTGACTTTGCTTGAAGCGCCACCATTCGGGGGCACCCAACGTCAATTTTCGGAAAATATCTGTTCGGAAGACGATTTGAGATCTAGAATTTTCGGAACATTTGTAGCCTGCCAAAACATCCGTTTCCCCTCGCTCTTCGCCGCTGGGGACGTTTCGCGCGAAACTTCCCCAGCGGCGAAGAGCGAGTAGAAACGGATGTTTTCGCAGGCTAGAATTTCTTGCTTGCCTGCCTCTCCTAGGATTTTCGAACATCTAAAAAAATGGTATAACTGTCCATTTTTAACGGATTTTTTACCTTAAAAAGGTCACCTAGAATTTTCGACTGAGATTTTCGACAAGGTAAATTTTGATCCCTATAATTTTTGGATCACTAGAATTTCAGCTAGGAAGTCCGAACAGGTGAAAAATTTATAGGGGATAATAATATGCCTATATCTACCATTTAAATATAAAAATACGTTTAACAATGCTATGTTTAAGTGGTTTTGAACTTTATTGTCGTTGGGTGCCCCTGACCATTGCATAGTTACATGGTTGGTGATACTTAATTTCTCTTATCGGGGTGTCTTTGAGTGAGCACATGGAGGTTATGCAGATGCAGAGATAACTTGAGAGGATGTTATTTAACAAATTAGGAACTCTTGACTGTGCTCTATCCTGTTGCCGTAAGTGTACAGAGGATAGCAAGAAGTGTAGGCAGCTGTGTAGGGGGAAACGCGAGACGTAGTCGAGTCTTTCTCCTTACTTCTTGAGTGCTCTAGGCGCTTTCTAAAAGCTTTACAATAGAACAGCACACTGTCAAGGTTAAATTCCTCACGCATTACTTTTGAATATTCAAAACAAACTTTAATTTCAAAGCCAACGATTGAGTGACACCTTTAGCTCCGTGTTTTAAACTCCAATAACGCGCAGATGTCACGCAAAATTGCAATTTTTGTATTTATTCGAAAGATCACCACCATAGACCATTTTTTTATGCCGAACTTAGTGAAATTATGAAGTTCCATAAGGATTCGTCGCAAAGTAAAAGGCGACAAAGCTTTTTGCGGGAAAAGTATAGCGTGGGCGTAAGATTCACAAATTTCCTGGCGTTGAGATCGTGGGGACGGTTCAAAGAGATACGTGAGCACCAAAAAAAAACAACAACAACCAGAGGGTGGGGTTTATCAATCCCTAATGTGCCGCCAATCAGGGTACGCGACATTTTATTATAAATAAAGGGACAATAAACTGTTTGGTTTTGTCGCAGCTCAGCATCCTACGCTTTTAGTTTTACAGAAATTCCAACTGGGAAACTATCGACAGTCCCAATCAACAAGTTATTGTTTCTCAAACATGAAGAGACAGGCCTTCCTGGGAAGACATTTTCAGTTTTGCTCAATGAAATTCATGCTGTTCTTTTTTCTGTCAAGCCTTGTTATCCAAGGTAGGTCATATAAATCTTAATCAGGAGAAATCGGCTCCTGTATTAACATATTTTAATATGCGTCATGATATACCGGAGCCGAGAGGTAAGTTAAGAACTGTGTTAAAACTCATACTTCTTATCATTTTGTGGTTTGCTCTGTATTCTCCAGTATACTAGTTTAGTTTCATGGAGTTGAAACAACAAATTCCTGACCCTATTTCATTGCTTTTTGCCCATGAAAAGGCCAGTCTGTTTCAGCCTTCGGGCCTGGAAAAAGTTGCAAAGAGTCCATAAATCTGGTAAAAAATGTTTAAGTGCATTTTACAGAGTAATACAATTGTTGTTGTTGACAGATGTTCATGTCACAGGCTTTTACTTTAAAAAAAAAACTATAAAAGTTAATGAATTAAAAAAGAATTGTTGAAACTCTGTATGCCGGGTCTTTCAGACGAAATCAAAGTTGCTAACCTGACGATGCGTTGCGAAACGCGCTACGAAGCTGACGTCCGCAACTACCCATAGAGATTCCTGAGATTCTTAAGGTCAAGACATTTATGATACTTTATTTTGGCTACTCAAGAGGAGAACAAATACAATTTTTGAAAAAGGTCAACAAAGAACAAGATTATCAGTTTTGTCTGTAAGGAACGATGTTTGGATTTTGGTCTTGGCTGTGTGAATTTTTGTTCGCTAACAGCAACTGATCTGAACACATATGCTGAATTAACCCTTTCGCGCCCAGACAAGTTATCGGGGGACGATTCTGTCACTTTAAATCAAAATCTGTGGACGAAATCCTATGATGTTGCCAATATGAACTGACTTCTTTGACAAAACGTTTGCATGGTGACGTAAATTAATTTTATGGGAGTTGAAAAATTTTTTTCATATTCCACTATTCATTTGGAATAAAGAGGTTAATTGCGTTGTAAATTGTAGGAAGTTTTACTGTCGATCGAAGTGATTGCATAAAAGAAATCAGACAGTACGTTATTCCAGCTATGTAGAGTTTTGCAACATATGCTTTCATAGATCGTTCTGGATCAAATAGGCCCACGTGTGCGACATGCACAGCAATTTCGCAAGACTCCATTGTGAGATATTTTCTTATCTTTGATAAGTTCCTAAGACGATAAAACTTTACAAGGAGAAGATAAAAGTAGGGGAAGATGACGAGAGGATCGGGTAGGAGGCGATTGTTTTAAATGTTTCTGTCAAAGGGGGGCGATTATTCCAGGGAAGCGATTAATCGAGGGACGGCTATTATTCGAGGAAATACGGTATGCAGTTTTAGCATGTACAAAGACAACTGGGGAATATCAGTAAACCACGGTGCACATAAAAAAATTCTTGCAGGAAAAACCCTCTACTAGCAAGAAAAAAAACCTCTGCTGGCAGGGAAAAAAGGTAGCCGGAAAAACGCCTGTACTAGCAGGATTAGCAGGTATCATTTTAATGAAGGTCATTCTACGCCAGGAAGATGATAAGAGAGAACATGCGAGAATCAGTCTGAATTGCGACTCACATTACTTCATATTGAGATAACAAGAAATGAATATGTGATAACTAAACATCACATAATTAAATTACACTCAAATATAGAAGGCCTAAAGGTGATTTCCACTGTCGCGTAGTTTTTCTGTGGGTACGTAAGCATCACGTTTACCTCAAACGGCAAAAGCGAATTTGTACCACGTGACAAGTTTCCCCTTTACTTGTCGTAATGGTCCGTCCCTTAATGATCATTATTTCTATTCACAAAATAGTAGTGTCACGCAATTTTTTGTCCATAACAGTTGTTTTGAGCTGTTTTATCTGCTCATTTTCTATTTTGAAAGATTCTCATCTTGAATCAGACGTTTGCAGTTACGGGTGGCATTTCATGATTGCCTCTATTTCATTTGTACGTAAATTGGATCATGTACCGAAGAAAAAGTATTTACGTACGAGGAAGTTCTCATGTGGCCATGTGTCATGTGATGTGCACGTGATGGACAGTATCAGCAACGATTTTTATAGCCTCCCAACGGGGAGCTCGTATTAGGACGCCAAAACATGCACAGCCATGGGTACTTTTCACTCCGTGCGCATACCGAGTGGTAATGAACATTAAATATTGAATTTTTCCAAGCTCAAATTTCAGCGATTTTTGAGGATTTTTTTAAGATTTGCATAAAAGGTTTCCGTGCAGAGAAACCTTGCAAAGATATTATCCCCAAAGAGTAACCCCACAGTCAAAATTATAATATACTTTTGCTAATAAGTAACCGCTCGCACGAGGTACCCTAGCCTCCCCCCTCCTCAAATGATAGATATTCTAGGCAATATTAGCTTCTCCCGAAACAGATGTTTTATAGGAAACAGTCGTTGAGTACCCCTAACTCGGTGGGGGGTTTATGTCTTGGTTTCACTAAACCTACACGCGGTTGCTATCGGAAGAAGCTACAAAGCAATCAAAAACTAAAAACACTGATTTGACGGCAAAGCCAAACAAAGACTTGAAAATAACTTAAATAACCAAGGTCAGCAAAGTGCAAGTCAATTATTTGGCAAGGCCAAGATATAAGAATGCCCGAAAAATACACAGTACTGATTGGCGATGTAAGTATGAATTACGTACGAGAAAATCAAAGATTAAAACAGGAAAGCATGGATGAAATCTTGACAACCTTGACCGCTGATCGCCTCCTGCCCTGACCCGCTTGATGAAACAAGCACGAACTTAAAAAACCAACCAACAACAAAAATTATATTTCTTTTTAACTCCCGTTGAGGCTTTGTGTTGGAGACCGAATTATTGGGCAAATACACTTTACCATTTGAATTTTCTTTGTATATCTTCTTCTATAACTCTTCTTGCTGCGAGGATCAGTTTACTGCAGTTTTTCTTCTTGGGAAGTGTTCACTGATCCAGCTCACTCCGCCAACATCCGGCCGGATGTCCTCACTCAGTGGTTTGATGACGTGGTTTTTGAAGTCGGAGTTTTCTTCAGGGTATTTTAAGGAAACCTTGTTTGTTTATGTACATCTTCACGTTTTGTTTCAAAATAAACATGCTAGAATCGCTGAAAATGGTAAAGCGCCCAGCCTGGAATAAGCGCCCACTATCAAGGTCCAAAAATTTAATAAGCGTCCAGGGCAGTTAATCGAAAATATACGGTAATTGTTTATGAGGATCTACAGCAATGCAGTAAATAACCGTTTTAAAAAATGAGATAAAATCTTTTAGACTTCAAGAAAGCTATCTGCCTTGTTGATCAGTTGGAAAAAATAGTTCCATCAAGGAATTCTGCTCAAAAGATTCGTCCACAAGTAGACCACTTTTAAACACCTATTTTTAACCGCCTCATTGAGCCCTGACAATTAATTCAGGAATGTTCTGCCAGCATAAGTGGACTTTAGTTGGCCCTAATCAGTAACCCTAAACAAAAAGAGTTAACAGAAAGCCTCAGTGCATTCAGTTTAAATGAATGGTCTGAGCAAATAGCAACTAAATAGTACCATGTGAAAGAAATGCTGACGAGGTTTTGTTTGAATGGTTACACCATGGCGACACCATCCATACCCTGCAGGGTCTGACTCAAAAGTTAGAGCTGCATGCTAAAATAAATAGAACCATGTGAAAGTCGCTAAAGAGCTTTTTCAGTTGAATTGTAACACCATAGGATTTCACCCACAGAGTCAAAAGTTCGAACTACATACTAAATAGATAGTACCATGTGAAAATACTGCTGAAGAGGCTTTATTTGAATGGTCACACCATAGGATTTCATCCACAAACGCAAAAGTTAGAACTACATACTAAATAATATAAATAGTACCATGTGAAAGTACTGCTGCTGTTTCAAATATTTTGCAAAGAAATGTTTTAACGCTTTTTTATACAGACGTCTCGCCTGCAAGCATCAAGAGTTGTGAACTACGAGCTTCCTGCTCAAGTGAGTGTCAATACTCCACTCAGAAGACAGTGAATCCAAACTCTAACGCAACTGTAGGGTGCTCGATCATGAATAAAGGACCAACACAAGACTTGACCCGGGAACAAGTTAGAAAAGGATCAACACAAGACTTTACCTGGGAACAAGTTAGACGAGAGATTCATGGCAGTAACAATGTGTATGATCTGGTGCTACAGCAGCAAGAGAATCCACATTGTTCGTGCACTCACATAACCCTCGCACGTAAGTACAACTTTCTCTAGAGTTTTGTCTTTATCTCGTGAATAAAATTTACAGGAATCTCATCATCTGCCATCTTTTGTATTCTTAATGCGATAGAAACAACAGACTCACGTACCTTGACCGGTTTTAACCTGTTCGTCATGCTCTAGTCTAATTTAACCGGTTTTAGTTTATTTTTAGGTGGATGATGTCATAGTTTTTATTAATTATGTGCGTCATATCGTTATGTGGGTATGATGTCACAGGTTATTTGTACGAGTCGTATCCTTATTTGGGTATGATGCTGTCTGAGCTGCGTTTTGATTGGTGGAAATCTCTCAAAAAGCAATTTGGTTGTGTTGGTATTTGGTCGTAGTTAGCTCAGGGTCTGAGCTTGACGATGACTCCAACCAAGACGGCAAGTCTCCTATGAAAATTCTCACCGCTGGGGATATTCTGGGTCTTTTTGAGGAAAGTTTTTAAAAATTCGGCTACATGTACATTATATGCGATCAAAGGACTGCGATGGTTCACGATTTTTCCGTGGAGCGTTCATGGGCGGAAATAATTTTGTTTTCAATCCAGAAGCTAATTCCTTGTTGTTTCGCGAATTCTTGCCTTGACTAAAACAACATCATTGTATGATGACTCGGAAATTAAGGAAATCAAATGATTCATTAACGTTTATTACTGATCACGACGAAAATAGTTTCAATCAGCAACAACAATAAGCTTTATTTTCATTACTATAACAAAGTATTACAGTATTGCAAAAGCTACTTGATTTTAATCATTGATTTCTTTTTTAAATTAAATATTTAAAATATTAACTTGAAATATAATAATCATTGCTTATTTTCAACCATCAGTAGGATTGATTATTCCGATCATTTGCTGATAAGACTGAGTGTCAAATCAGCCACTGCCAAGCTATCTTTTCAGATGCCCATTACTTTACCAAAGAACAATAACCAGCCAAAAAAACATACATGGGCTGGGATAGTGACATTCACTCGGATAGTAGGTTTGTCAAGAGTTCCTGTGGAGGTTTGTGTTAGTTAATGAATGTTTGGATCAGGGTCCAAAGAAAATCATTTTTACAGCTTGCCATTCGGGCAAGCCGAAGCTAACATTTACTAGCCCAAGCATCATTTCAACTAGCCCCAGAAACGTTTTGATGAGCAGATTGATTTCACAGTTCTTCTGTAATTTGAATTTCTCCAAAAGACATCAAGTTAATAGCAGAATTCACTAGCCCCGGGCTATCGGACACTACTTTCTATCAATTAGGTTTCTGGGAAACTGCCCACCTACCCCTTCCCTAAGCTAACATTAACACTTACTTCTCGCTTAGAGCAAAATGATGGCTTAGGGGAGGGGTAGGTGGGCGAAATTGCGAATGTTTGATGAAATAAAGAATTTCCCTTTTTACTTTTTCCTTTTTACGCCATAGATGTGTCACCCACAGGGACCCTAGACTGTGAAATAAGTGCACAGAAATGTCAACCTCCTTTGGAGACAAAAACCCGTACAGTAACGCCGAAAGACTCTAAAGTGAATTTGAACTGCTCGATTAAGAATGGGGGAAAAGTACAAGACATGACCTGGCAGTACCTTGAAAAACACCTTAATGCCAGTGACGCCGGTCTGTTCGTACAACACATCGATTCAAAGAATAGAAGTCAGCCTCGTGAATGTTTTTCTATAAAATACGCCAGTGAGTATGTTCTTCTTTTGCCCTGTCTGTATCAAATTGATGGGGAGAAAAATGTCATAATGCGGCCATCAGTTCTTTCGTGTGTGTCTTATTTTTTAAATGGATTATAACGAATCCTATGAATGCCTCGTAACAGGTTTAGGTAGATTCAAGCTTAGCTGCGGCAATTTTTACGGTTGGATTGATCGTAAAAACACGGTTGAAGTTATAGCCAGCTAAATCACCTCACTTGAACATGGTCCGCCCGCTAAACTCTAGTTGCCATGCCATGCTAGAGGGCAAGCAAAGCAAAGGGACATGACAAACAACAAACAAAGGAATCATTTTAAAAGATGTTAGCTTTTTGTTTGGCTTGACTCAGTGCGTAGGGCCTCGCTCTCCAGCATGGCAGGTTTGTGCCACAAAAGTGACTTACTGCAAAGGGCCTATTTAAAACGAACAAGGCATGGATTAAAACATGGTTGGTTGGAAGGTGTCGGTAAGAGAGATGACTGTAGTTATCTTAAAAATCGTGAGCCAAGCAACGACGACGGCAGTGAAAATGTCGCTAAAAAATTAAATTTGCCATATTTCAAATGTTATCGCGTCTATTTGGAGCTGCTTAATTTGTCAAATGTAGGCAGTTTTGTCTTAGAGTTGAATTCTTATGGACTTTATTCAGGATCAGAAAGAAAAAGGAGAATTCGTCGTCGTATGTTCACTTTCTCTATAAAACGTTGTATTACTAGGTTTCACTTCATAGTCGTGCGGTCAACGTCAAAGAAATGTACTAAGAAGCTTGACGCATGTGCAGCAACTGTTGTTTTCATGTTAAAACCAATTGGTGGTCGTGGTGGTTCAGATTTTGATATTTTTTTGTACTAATTTAAGAGGTTGCTTTAAAAATTACAAATATATCACAAAAACAACGAGAAGAAAACCAGCAAATTACATAAATCCTGATCAAAGGTGAAATCTGCGCAGTGGCCAAAGGAGCTTAGGCTTTCGGGTTGGTCACTTAAGCTCTCTGGTTTAAATGACTGGGTGCATGACTTACGAGCTTTGAAATTAAGACGAAGAATTCCTTCTCAGTTCCAGTTAATAGAGTATCTAAGACAAGTTCTCCCGTTGACTTCTATCCTGACACGAGAGAAATGGAACTGAAGTGTACCTTCAAGGGATGGCCTCGTCCTCGTGTAGTTTGGTACAATCCAAGTAACAAACAAATCATCAACGGATCTGAAGGTTTTTACATCTCAGAACAGCTGGAGCGAGAGGATACCTTAATTTCCCTTCTCCGTAATGCTGATATCCAAGAAAAACACCGAGGGGCTTATAAATGCACTGGAATGAACAACATTACCAACTGGTCGAGTAGAAAATCAGGGTATATTGACCTGAATTATCGCTGTGAGTCATTTAATTTCTTATTTCTAATACAACACACGGATTCGCAAAACTACCTCCTTTGAAGCAGGTTCATAAAAAACATAATACCATGTTTCCCCTGTAAGCAATGGAAAGTATCCCATTAAGACTAAGAGAGACAGCTCATTGTCTCTTGACTTAGACGGAATTAAATATTGGCTGTTTCATATTTCAAACAACAGATTAACTTATTCCAAACTGAATTTTAAAAAATACAACTGAAAATTTCGTGCCACCTTCCTCCTCCATTCAGAATAAATGGACCCTGGAATTTTTGTTTGTTTACCCCTCGGGTACAAGGGATAAGTAAATAAGTTAATAAATAAATAATGATTTAGTGGCGCTAGCTCATCCACAAAGTGGTTCTTTGTCTACCATTCTGGCTCAAATTTGCCTTGCGCAGTTGGCGGGATTAACGTGGGAGTGATTTGTTGTTTTGGTGGCAATGGCGGAATAAGGGTGAGAACCAACAAAACTCAACCTGGCCGGCCACATATTAAGTTGCCTGAGGAATCAAGCACAGGACAGTCATTAATGAGAGGGAAGTGTTCTCACCTGAAATTCAGTAGAACCTCTATATAAAGAAGTCCTAGGTATAATTCACAATTATTCCACTTATTCCACGAGTGTGCATTAGATATAAGATGGTAGGGGAGCCAACGAGACGCGTAGCACCGAGTTGGCTTTAATCATCTCATATCCAACAAGTGCGAGTGGAATAATTATTCTATTAAAAACGCCCACAAAATATCGAGAATTCTTCCCGACTTTATTTGTAAACCAACCCACTTTCATCTTGTTTTTAATTTTGAGCAGACGCGTACAGTTACAATATTTAAAGAGCATGGTATAACGGCTCATATACCATGATGGCTAAGCCAATCAGAGCTCTAGAATTGCATTATCCAATGATTCAATTTTTAATAATAAGCGATATTCTCCTCCCCAGAAATAATACAGTCAAACCCCGTAAATCCCAACACTGAAGGGGCCGTACTGAGAAAGAGTCCGTATTAACAGGGTGACCTTATTAAGCGGGTAGAAAATGAAAGGGCGTTCTGTCCCCAGGGACAAAGCAAACTGTCCGTAACAATGAGATGTCTGTACACCGTAATTTTTAGGGAGTTATTATAACTCCAAAAATGGAGTAAAAATTTTAGGTACAGGATAACCCCTTTTTTGGGGTTATTTTAACTCCTAATTTAACTCCGAATTTGGGGTCATTTTTACTCCTGAAAAAGAGTTCTTTTTACTCCCAGTCTTGGAGTTAAAATTACTCTGAAATGGGGTTACTTGTACTCCTTACAGGGGTTGTTTTTACTCTTTTTGGAGTTAATTTAACTCTGAAAGTGGAGTAAAAATTTTAGGTACAGGATAACTCCTTTTTTGGGGTTATTTTAACTCCTCAATATCTGGGGTCACTTTTACTCCTGAAAAAGGGTTCTTTAAACTCCTTTTTGGAGTTAAAATAACTCCACGAAAAATAACTCCACTGTCAGGAGTTAAATTAGCCCCACTAGAGGAGTTATTATAACTCCCTGAAAATTACAGTGTATTGAGCGGGTTTCCAGACTTAAGCAGGGTTTGACTGTACAATAAATAAAAGGAACCTTAATATAACGGAACTTCTTTATAGTGAACATATTTTGCCACTACTTTGGGTCTTCGTTCAGCTGTTCGTTATATCGAGATTCCAATGTAAAGTGTTATGTTGTTGTTAAAAAGAGAAAACGAGACGCCGAATAGATACTGAAATCAACCCTTAGTAGCACAGGCCATATTGGTGGGAGGTAAGAGAAGATCAACCGTTCGCTGGAGCGTCTTTAAAGACGGCGTGACGTGAGACAACTCGCAAAGGAACCAGTGGGATAAACAAAATCAACACGTGAAAACTCCAAAGCGTTTTGATGCCCCATATATTGTCACAAATACTCAGGAGGGGAGGGTAAGAGTAAGAATGTTACCCCCTACGGTTGCACAAAATATGGTAACGATTTTCAAATAATATTTGCTCATTATATCTTTTTATCATCTAATACAGGTCTCTTGCCTAAGGCTCCGAAGATTTCTTCTCGCGAGGTTTCGGTGACAGCCTACTCCAATGTCAGTTTAAAGTGCGAAGTAGGTGTTAGGCCAAGCGACTGTTGGGACAATTCTTTACAGTGGTATTTTAACAACAGCTCAGGGGAATTAAAATTTGGTGAAAAGTATGATATACAAGAAAGGAAAACCAACACCAGATGCAAAAAAGATTTCATTCTCACCATTGTTAACGTTACTGAAGAATACCGGGAATGTATAAATGTCAGTGGCTCTGCGACCATGACTACCCCATCTTTTCCAGGTCTTCAATTATCCAGTTGAAAGTATTTCCTCCTTCAGAAGAAGGTACTGATACTCCTGTGATATCTAAAGGTATTGTATCACGAAATTTATCAAAATTCAAAAAGTGGAAAACGCCACCAGATTGAGTGAAACATTAAAATAACCGCTCAAAACCCCGCGGAGTGGGTATGTGCCGCTGGCCTCTCAGAGCCTATACCCCATTATAGTCTATTCTGTGGCCAATTATAGACCCCATCTTTGTCACTTTTGGGCAAATATGTAATTTTCGCGATCCCAACTTAGTCACTTTCTACTTTTATGAATTGACCCATTTTTTAGATTGAATGAAGAACACTTTACTTTTCATCTGCAGTACAAACATTCTAGTACGTTTGCTATTCGTAAATATGGAGAACTTTCTTACCCCCCAAAAATCCGAAAATGTGCTACCCCATTTTATTCAATCCTGTCTTGAAAATGGGACCCCATCCAGCGGCACATTCCCATTAGCCTCTTATAACGAAGTACTCCCCCCACCCCCCTTGGGCTCAAAACAGTAACACAGCAAATACAAAAGGAGTCATGTCATGTGAGGACAAGCTTGAAGGGTTGAAATTGATAGCAACTTAATTTTTTCATTAGAAAACGGAGAATCAAATCCGAAGAATAACTCGCAATTGTATAACAGTAATTTTATTCGATCTGAAATCAAATTGTACAAATATATTCTATTTAATAAGTGTAATCAAATAATTGATTCATGAAACTAGAAAAAGCGGAATAAATGCTGATAAAAGCTAAAAGTTGATACAAGCGAAGTCACGTGGTTCTTGAAGGAAACAAACTCAATTTAAGCTACTTCAATTCTGTTTAAAAGGTAACGAAAGAAAGACTAAATTAACAAAACGAAGGTAACATACAGTTCACTTACTTCTTTCCTTATAGTTAAAAGAATTCTTGAAACTGAGAGTGTTTTGATCAAAGCAGCTTAAATCGATTTGAATCAGTGCATGAAATCAATGCATGATATCAATATGAATCTGTAAATTTCAAAGAGCTACACAAGAGTCATACAAAGGCAAAGGATACAATTGACCAAAAACAAAAAAAGAAAAAGGGACGTTGTAATGTCAACTACACTAAACACCAGCATATATATAAGAACCAACACCGGGGCATATGTTTACCTATATTAGTAATCGTATTTGTTTCTCTTTTCATTTGAAATTTCCTTTTTTTGTATCGATGAAAGTAATATGTTGAGGACATTTCCCCTTTACCAACTTTATTTGCAGATTCTTCGACACCATCGACACAAAAGATTACAAACTCAACTTCAACAGGTCAGTGATGTTAAGGGGTGGTCACTAAGTATAGTGTTGCAGTGGGACTAATTGTACGTAGTGGCGGATCCAGACCTTCAGATAAGGGGGGGCAGTCATCCAGACCCTGAGATAAGGGGGGAGGGGCGGTCATCCAGACCCTGAGATAAGGGGGGCGGTCTTAAAAATTTTTGTTTTGACCTTTCGGGTCTCAGTTTGGTCCAAAAATAGCGGGGAGGCCCGGATCTAGGGGAGGCCCGGGTCCCTTCCCTGGATCCGCCTCTGAATTGCCAACCAAATCTAAAAATAGTATCCAGATCTTATCCCTTTTCAAATAATACGAAACATTGGAAGAAAACAGAACCACCCTGAGTCGGCCGTGAGTCGCTGGACTGTTATGGCAATTCAAAAGTAATTACCGGGTGTCAATAAAACGCGGGGTCGCGGCCTGGGTCGGGGTCTATCTCTTTTTTTATAGAATACCGTTTTAAGGTTAGGGTTAGTGTTATGTGAGGGTTAGGGTTAGTGTCAACCCGAGCCCTAACCCTAATCCTAAAACAGCATTCTTTAAAAAGAAGATAGACCCGGACCTCGACCCCGACCCCGCGTTCTACTGACACCCGTAATTACCAACGAGTTGCATCGTGCTCCAGTTTAAAGACACATTTTCACAAATTAGCAAAATATAGTGTATAATCCCGGGTAGGCCCACGGGTAACCCAGGCTCTGTGATAGTACCACAATACGGTCCCATTAAAATTCCAGGGTTGGGGGACTCCGCATATGAAAGGGGTGGGGATGCTCGTCAGAAATTTTGAATTAAACCCCTAAAGGAGACCGGTCTGGGCGTGGCCCAAGCTTTTTTTGATCCCTAAAAGAGGCCATGTTAAAACACAGACAAATGAGAAAACTTGGATTATATGAATGGAGTAAATAAGACGAATTAAAAATATACATATCAATTATATATTTTTATATTTTTTCGCGTGCAACCCTAAACGAGACTTTCACGGCTAAATATGATGGCAAAATTCAGGCACGTGTGCGCGGTTTGCGCTAGCGAATTGTGATTGGCTAGGAAGAACAATTGCCTTCTATCAAGTATTTTTCCAGCAGGGGAGGGTGGCTTTGGGTAAATGGTGTATCGGTCTCCAGAAAGGTCACCCCAGGACTCCCGGGATGGATTTTTTTTGTCATAATTTGCTAACTAACTAGAAGACTCAATTATGACTAACAGAACTAACCAGTTTACTGTACACAAAATCTCAGAAATCTCTGGCACATAAACTGACTCTTACACTGACTTATTTTTTTCAGATGCTGTTGCTGCCTAGATGAACGCTGTTTAGGGAGACTTTTAACGGTTTATGAAACATCAGGGGCCCATTTCTCCTAAGTACCGATAATAAACTGGCCCGGGAAACAGTTGTTACGAACAGTTAAGGTCGAGGTTTTCATTAGTTTTCGCTTTTTAGTGTTCTTTACATTTTCATTTGAAAATGTTTTACTTGGTTTCGGGCCAGAAACGTTACGGGGAATTTTGAGAAAGGGGCCAAAGAAGAGGAGAGTTTGGAAATAGTTTTCTTCAGTGGGAAGTTTTCTTTTGGTTCCGTCTAGTAATGTTTTGGTTGTTAGTTTGATTGTTTTACACAAATAGTACCAGTAGAAACGCTCTGAAGTATAAAGTAAATGATACAACTATAAAAAGTTGTTAAAAGCTTATCTTCTTGTTGTTGCTTGACAATAAATTTTACTTCGGGTTGAAACAGTCACTCTCTTTGTCTTTCCCAACCACGCGCGCAGAGGTCGGACTCAAGTAGATTAAGGCCTCGGTCTACGTCAGTTATAGTTTTTATACACATATTCCAAAAAACCATTGTTAAAGACAACAACAATAATAATAACAAAATCAACACTCCCAAAAAACTGTAACGTACGTAGTGGAAGAAAAATCCTTAGCATGCCCTGTGTAAAAATGAAAAGGTGTTCAACAGCAGCATTAAAGAAAGTATTCCGGCTTTAATATCCATGTAATATCCATTGCAAAAAAAACAAATAACAAATAACCAAACACTAAAGTAATGAAAATAATATACAAAATATTTCATTCAGACATTCATGAGGCTAACTACAATACCTATAAAAAAATTACGAAATATGGTTATTCTTCCATACACAATGTGTTTTGAATTCTTACGGAAGTGTAGCCAAATCCCTATTTAGAGAGTGTCTCTGTAAGAGCGGTCCGGTCGAATTTGCTTGAGACACAGATTTAGCTCATTTCTTGTGTGTTGTAAGAAGTTCATGTACCTATACTAAAACCACAATCGGTTTGATCGGATCTCTTTATTTTTCAGAGTTTTACGGAAATTAAATTTCACTCTGGTCAGCGGTCACGTTTATGAGGTAAACATGGCGATCGCTTCCTGATCACCGTTCTTATCGATCAGAAAATCAAAATACCAGCGTGATATGGCCTCCAAGATGAAGCAGTTATGTTGTTTGATTCGCACTTCACATTAAAGTCGAAACTTGGGCGTCACAGGTTATTTCTTACGGTGGAATCGATGAGGGAAATTCGACCACTAGTTGTAGTGTTTGAATTGTTGGAAGAAATGGTCGCATGGGGATGTAGGAATGGTAGGTTTAACGAACAATTTCAAATTTTGCCCCTTGAATTGAAAGTGAAGTTCATTTGAATGCTTTCGTATGTATTTCTGACGGTTTTAGATCTACCTGCTCGATTTATATCTGCTACACTTCATATTGACAGGTCCCTCAAAATGGCGGCAAAACTTGGAGATTGCCGAAAATTAGGTAAGTTGACGGAGTTATAAAGTTAGTAAATGACGGGCCGCAAAGTTTTTTTTCTGTAGTTACCTTTTCTATGGCACCTACTTCCTAGCTATATTAGTTGGATCAGTTAAGAACGCCTTACTTTTTCAAAAATATACCTTGAATTTGATCGGTTTTCGCGTGTGTGACTTAAGCGGACCGATAAGGTGTCGTTCAATTCTTCCTGTTTGCTTGATTGAAACGTGATGTTCACGAAAGTCGCCTCGATGGATAAGATAGAGTTAATATACATGTCTGTAGTATTTGATGTTTGCTGAGTCCCGTACTTTTTTGTAAATTGTCCTCCAAAGTTGTCTCAAATTAAAGTCTTGAAAAGTGTTACGACAGGCCCTCGCTCGGGTGAAATTTAATTTCCGTAAAACTCTGAAAAATAAAGAGATCCGATCAAACGGATTGTGATTTTAGTATAGGTACATGAATTTCTTACAACACACAAGAAATGAGCTAAATCTGTGTCTCAAGCAAAATCGACCGGACCGCTCTTACAGAGACACTCTCTTAAGCAGTCAACCTCTTCTGTTTGGCGGTCACCTGCGAGAGTCGCTACTTCCCGAGAGTGACATCTTAGTAGTCCCATGTTCTCAGTAAATTTCACAAATCGAAAAAATTCAGCTGTTCTGAACTATCATAAGTCGTGATCCTGATCAAACCAACCGGTTTTGTGTGATTTCTATGTCATGTTTTTGTTGGTCTCGAGTCTTTGGATGTTCGTTACTATTTTCTGTCCAAAGCATGCCTGACAGGCGACGTTTGACGTCATAACTTCTTGATTTTTCATACGGCCTCCGCGGAAACCGGCGGGAAAATTCTTCACGCGTTAGTCGGGTCTGCTGCTTCTGGAGCTGAAATACACTTCAACGTTATCTTGTTGACGTTATGATGAAACAAAAAAAGCTTTTTTGTACAACGTAACTGCTTAACTTTGCCTTGATGTATAGAAATAATATAGAGTTTTATTCGTTCTTTGCCATTGAGTGGACTGCGAAATTTACTGAGAATATAGGACTGCCGGGCATTTAGTGTTTTGAAAACCTTGTCCAGCAGTCGAGCTGAAAAAATTTCTAAGTGTCACAAAAAACGGTTTTGTCTTCTGAGCCCAGCGTAAACCAAGCACTAGATCTATGAAGCACTTCAGGATCGCTTGACTTGCCTTCATCGACATATGATAGTTTAGATTAGCTAGAATCTTTCGATTTTGTGAAATTTACCGAGAATACAGGACTGCCGGCCATTTAGTGTTTTGAAAACCTTGACCAGTTACCGGCCATGTAGCCACAGTGAAAGAATTAAGGTATTACTAGTCCGTTGAAATTAAATTTCCAGAATTGACTGCAGCAGGGACTTGACCGTAATTGGATCAAATAACATTTCATGATCTTCCGCAGGGTTTGTAGCCGCCAAAAATGTCAAGCCTTCCAGTCGCAGGAGTTGGGTCCTGCCTATCATCATTATTTCATCAGCAATCGTCTTTGTGTCGATTGCGATAGCTACGTATTTCTTTATAAAGAAAAAGCGCACCTATTCACCACATCGAGCGGGTGACCTTGAAGAAGGAATTATGAAGAGCAACAATCTTTTCATCAGTTACAGTTCAAAATATGGTGCGTGGGTCAATGAAAATCTAATTCCCATTCTCGATAAACACTCAATATCCTACAGCATTCACATAAGAGATTTTGAGTTGGGAAAGGCCATTGTCCAAAACATGGCAGACAGCGTCTACAGCAGCCGCAAAGTTCTGATTGTCTTGTCCGACAACTATTTCGCCAGCAACTTCTGTCGAGAAGAGCTACACATGGCCGTCCAGCGGGAGAAAGACGCTGCAGACTTCTCACTGATTCTGGCGGTGTTTAGTAAGTTAAAGATACAGAGGTTGCCAAGGACGTTGAAAGGCAAAAAGTGTTGGCTTGATTTTGAGAAGCATAAGCGAGATTGGGAAAAGAAATTGTTGAGTGTTACACTAGATGGAAAAGCTTCTTAATTTGTGTACCAAACCGAATTTTAGTCTTAATACTAGATCTCAAGTAAGCATAAGTGAGTGTCAGCAAGGCTCACAGCCAACCATATTATTCATTTCTTTTAAAGGCGACTGTCTAGTCTTCGTGGATCAACGCCTCAACACCAATGGAATCATAGTTTCCTGTGAATAAAGCTCGGGTATCTTATCATACTAGTAATAACCAAAGATTAGTGAGTGCGCCGTTTGACGACGACCGAAGGTCCAAACGCTTCAGTTGCTCCTCGCTGTGCTTTGCGTACGTTTCGCGTGAGGGACTTACATGAAAAACCGTGAAAATAATGTCTGTGATATACATGTACGATACTCGATTATTTAAATATCATATAAACCTTAGTGAACGTGAGTGGCAGTAAAATCCAGAGGAAAAGAAAGCAAAACCTTTAACATGTATTATTATTCATTCAAAATATTTCCCCGATTCTGATTGACTAAAAGCACAAGCATAATTCACCATAATCAGCTACTGATGACCAAATTTGGGAAGAATTTTGCTATTAATCAACCGATGACGTCAAAAGTGCAGCTTCCTTGCCGGTTAATGCACCGTTAACCCAGAAGACCTGTAGACCAGCGAGGTTGAGTTGTTTTAATTGTGAAAACAAAAATGGTGGACATTTCACTAGTTTCAAGACTGAGTAAGAACATGGCAAATCAGCAAGAAGACAACTCGAAGGGCGACATCTGCTATTTGGAGAATATTTGCGGAGCGAACAACCCTAAACGTGCAATATCGAATATGATGATGTTTTTATAGTAGGAATTAGTTTGAATGAATAATAAAACAATTATTGAATTCGGCTTTCGTATCATATGAAGAACTATGGAGTTTTCGACGGATAACACCCTCCTCGATCTCCATAATTCTTCATAAGATACTCAGCCTCATTCATTAATTGTTAATTAAGGTTCCTCAGTCAGTACCAGCAGCACGCTTTTAACTGTGGTACTTATACAACTAATCTATTTAATGCAAGTGATTTAAGAGCTCAACTTAAAATTATTACAAAACTTCTGTGTGAATAAAGTTTAACTTGGCAAAAAAACCATCGGCTGTGGGCGTTTTTCCCAAAGGGTCTGGTCAGTTTGTATGCTCTAAGACATTTAATTGCTTTGATATCGCTCTAATTGCATAAAGCAGAAGGCGAAAGGGCCTTAAATTTCTCTTTCGTCAGAAAAAAACGATAGTCTCCAGCGAAAGATAGGATTCGCCAAAATTTTTCTGATGTATATTTAACAGTTTGTTACTATAAATTTACACCTGGTTTGTCTAAACCTTTAAACAATGCATATCTGTCCAAGAGTATAAGAATGTTTCGAAAGATCCACCCCTAAATAACCATGGGCTACTTCTTTTTCCCCATCACCGATGTGCACTTTCTTCCCACTGTCGCTTGCATGAGGCTTGTATCCTTTTAAACTGTTATCGACAAATACAACTGGTGGTTTAAGGCCTGGTTTAAGAACTTGACTGACTTAAAAAACTGTCGCGAACATGCGCTATTATTGTTGAACTTTGCAAGCTTTAAGCCCAAAATGATGGTGCAATCTCGAAAAAATTTGCCCGGGTCTAAGACAGGGAACGGGTACTAAGAAAGGGACGGTCTCATAGCAACCCGTGGACAATCTGGGCATGCTTGCCTTCTGTCGCAGGGGCAACCGTTAAGGCCAGGTACGCCGCCCCCACCTGCGAGGATTGCTTATGGCTCCACCATTTGACTCGCTTTTTCCACATCATGACCTTCAATTATGCGGGCCTAGATCGTTGCCACCTTCCCAGAAGTCTAATCGTCGCACTGTTAGATCATGAGGATCTCTATCATTCCATAAATGCACCATTGACTTTTCCTTGTTCAGCTTCCAGTAAACCGATACCCCGAAGAAAAAATAGCTTTACAACGACTCTATCCAGGCCAAAACTCCTGATATCAACAAACAGGGGCACCCAACGAGAATATAGTTCAAAACCACTTAAACATAGCATTGTTAAACGTATTTTAAAATTTAACAGTTGATAAAGACATATTTTTATCCCCTAAAAATTTTTCATCTGTTCGGATTTCCTAGCTGAAAGCCTTGATCTAGTGATCCGAAAATGAGAGGGATCAAAACTTACCTTTTCGAAAATTTCAGCCAGAAAAAAGGCTCCCGAAAATTCTAGGTGACCTTTTTAGGGGAAAAAATCAGGTAAAAACGGGCAATTATACCATTTTTTAGATGTTCGAAAATCTTAGGAGATGCAGTCAAACAAGAAATTTTACAACAAATGTGCCGAAAATTCTAGATCTCAAATTACGGTCTTCCAAACAGATATTTTCCGAAAATTGACGTTGGGTGCCCCTGAACAAATATAACCCACCCCCCTTAAGAGAGGAAACTTTCCCCGAACTATTCACTTGACCTACCCCATCCCTTCGTTAAGAAAAACTACGAACTCAGTTCACTGGACAAAACGCCCTCGTGAATATACCATACTATAACTGTTCATTCTACAAGCAATCTCAGTTTCAGCAGGCGTGGCCACGTTTCCAGTTGCTGTAAGATTAATTCGACACCTGCAACAGATAGCAGCCACAACGCCCTTCTTTGAAACCGTCCGGACGAGACATTTATAAAAGACTTAACAGATGTGCGCGGCGGTTTCCTTTTCTTCCTTCCCTACCATTCTAGCACTCAAATTCTGACCCTGATATTCTAGTAGAAATCAACCGTTCTAGAGCCGATAGGCACAAGGATACCGGTTTCTTGCAAAATATGCTGTGACATCCGTTTGCTCATCCCCCTTTCTGCCTTCGGCCGCTGATTAGGTTTGGTTCTGTGCTTTGAAATAACTTTAAGAACGAAACATATACGTGAGGGGCGTGTCCGGCCAAGGATAAGTGACTCTCGGTGGTGAAGACATATACTGAGCTTGTGAGTATTTCGTAGCCTGTACCACGTCGCGAAAATAGAACAAGCCAAAGAAAAATAAGAGGCCTTTCTTTCCCCAGCCCTCGCAGGTTTTTCGCATTACTTTTTACTGCACAACTGCTTTGCTATCTTGGATTCTACCCTTTCGAGCCGGAGCGAACATGGACGCTTTTGGGGTTAAGTTTCCACTTCATTTTCGGCACCTGACTAAAACACAAGCGCTGACTTGTGCGCCTATGCTTCGTTTGCACTGAAGCAGCGGTATATGACCACGACAGACTTGCTGCTATCCTTGGTTTGAAACCGCAAAGGGCACGAACATTTCTTGAAAAGAGCAAACTGTTTCCTCCTTAGCAGACATGGAGAACAACTACTAGGACTTAAGCAATGCCATTGCTTAAGTCCTACTAGACTTGAAGAGAGAGAGCATGATGCTTTCTCTTTTTAATGATTTACGGCTAAACAGTACAATTTCATGTAGCTTTTACGCAAAATTAAATACTTAGTTGTTTGCAGAATTGCATTTAACAACAAATTATAGAAATTTAACTAAGTTTGGATCTCATAGATAAGAATTGAACGGAAAAAGCTTTTGGGGTAAAAAAGTCAAAAAATAATGTTTCCTAGAAAATCACTTAATGGACATACAATAGCAGAGATATCATGCCTGCAATTTTCTGTTCAGTGCACCTTATGACAAGTCTGACTAATCCATTGGTAGCCCATGCCTTAAAACCGCCTTTGCCTTTCATGCGTAGAACACTCCGGGATTGGGGGTAAAATCAGAAGAATGGAACATTCAGTTCCTGTACCATTTTTAAAATTGTGACAGTATGTTTGCTAACCATCTTAGTTAACCACTTTAAAAATAGGACAAAAGAACAGCTGGTCATACATGAAAATATATTTACTATCTCGAAAGCTTTGGTTTCCCGTGCACTTATTTTTCGCAGGAAACAATCGATAATTGCCTGGTCACGCAATCGGAGGTGAGTAACTAATTAAAAGTCATTGATACCGTCGCCGCTTAGCAAATACACTACGTGCTGCAAAGGATCCAAATTGCCTGTTCGGCCCACTTTTTATCTCAGGTAAGGCACTGCAAAGCTGATTCATTTACGAAGGTTCGAGCGAGAATTATTTTATGATGCTATTTCGCAGTCACGGGAAAACAGACCTAGACTTAGAAAATCATCTTGTTAGTTTCTCCCTTTTAACGCGCTCAAATCGACGCATAAAACTAAAGTGACGTGCCCGTGTCAATTGACCCTGGGGTCAATTAGCGGTTGTTTGGGGCAAAATAACCTCAAAATAATCAATCTATTTTACAAGCGTTCGCAAGAACACCAGACTAACTTTCACATAATGTTGAAGTACTATCTCACTGGGTAGTAACTGGGATTTGGGGTGATTTGGAGAATTCCCCCATATAGAAAATTCGATTTTGGTTTTAGCGGTAAATTATCGTATTTGTAAGCATTATGCAGATTACGTTTCAAAATTGTGCCCGTTCGTCGATATTTTATTCTCTAAATCTAAAAAATGTGCCGTTTAGAAATTGCTAGATATCTGTTTTTTGAGATTTAAGTGGAAGATTGCCAATGTATTCGCTCGTTTATGGAAGTCAGCTCATTTCTGTCGCTGGGCTATATTCCCGTGTTCGGCGGTAGAATTTTAGGCCCGCAGACCGTTGAAATCGAAAATCTCAAATAATTCCCAAACTCGGCCGCACTTTGAAATTTAAACCTCAGCAGTGTTATAAACTCATTGCTGCGGAGCGACCGAAGGGAGCGAGCAGCAACATAATCAGGATTTAAAGGAAATATATAAGGGGCGACCAATTCTCGAATGCATCACTTTTTACCACAATGCATTGCATTTAACCACACTTTTTACCACAATGCATTGCATTTAACCAGAGTGCATTGCGCCACGAACAACTCAAATAAAAACACGGGGAAGTTCGGTGGGTTAGAGTGCATCGTTCGCTGCTTAGACTTAGAGTTTTCTTTGTGGCAAATTTTCTACAGCACGGTTAGACGTCGTACCGAATTTTAAGACACGCAGGAGTCTTTCAGATGAGTACGATGGTTAACTTGGGGATTGGATTTCAATTCAAGAGCCTTTGACTCGTCCAGGTGTTAAACCTGACGAGAAGATGAGCATTTGCTCTTCGGCTCCGCAACACGGGGGATATACAAATTCCAGCTTGCTAGAAGGTGATGTGAAAGTGAGAAAATTTCATGCAATGCTATTCTTAAGAAACTGTATGAGCCGAAAATGGATGTGATTTTGACCATTCGCTTCAAAATAACAGCGGAAATCGAGGTAACAAAACATATGTTTTGTGTCCTACTTTGAGACGAGGACGTGTATCGGCGTTTTGAAAAGCATAATTATGTTCTTTCACTCATTTATTGCCATGGAATATGCGTTTACATTGTTTTTTCACTGTTAATAGCTCGGTTAATGCGGCTGGCGATCATCTTGCCGGCAGAAGTCTTATGGAAAAGGAATAAAATGAGAGACTTTTCCGACAGACTACGTAATCAGTCTCTGTGGTGTAGTGGTTAAGTGTAGTCGCGTCGCGTCGAGTCGAAGGTGCCGGGTTCGAATCTTACTGAGTTATTTATTCCTTCTTTCTTTTTTTTCCCGTTTTTTGTGTTGTTGTTTTCTATAAATATATAGCTAAATAACTGTTACTTAATAAAGTGCAACAAACAGCAAGAAAAGTATTGTGTTTCCAGAGAAAATATCGTGCACCGTATATTAAATATATGGATAAACGATCTGAATTTCTATTATTTCCTACAATTTACTGTGGGAAAACCAGAGTTGATAACCACTTGATCATTTTCTAAACAACGTTCCCACGAATTCTTTCTATAGACTGATAGTAATTATTCTAGTACTTTCCAACATGTAAATAGGACATTCAATGTCAGTTTTGATTCTTTTAAGTCTCACTGCCTAACTAATGCCAGTATCAACAGAATGTGCCGCAGCATTACTATCTTTTAGATACCCTAGTTAAAACCTTATTACAGACTGAAAATGACGGTAGGTTAGGTTTTGAGCTGTGGCCACGGTTTGCTCGATTTTTCTGTGCATTCGCTCTTAATACCTTATGCAACAATTCGAATCTCAGTGAATTGTATTTAAATGATAACAACTCCTTACAGCTGATTTCATTGCTATGTATACACCCGGATTTTCAGACATGATTCGACGGTCATGATTCGACCTGTCATGATTCGACACTAATCACGTGACGTATCGCTTCGCAGTACGTAAACGGTCGCGAAAATAATTGAGAGTTCTGCCGTGGGATCCGAAACAGTGAGAGAAAAATCTGGCTGGAAAGCTTAGCACTAAAGGACATAAGTGTAACGAAGCTAGAATCCCGACAAATGCGTTTTACCTGAAAGGAAAGCTTTGTTGCTTGGAAAGCAGCGACATGATACAGAAATTATGATAACATTTGATCCGGTGATAAACCTGGAGTTCGATTGCCGAGTCCGAATGTATTTCTGTAGGCGATTTCATAATGGACGAAATATTATCAACACGGCGAAAACCGAAATAGTCCGACGGTTAATCGTTAGTCTTCTTCCGTATAACAAGGTTTCGGTGTTTTGCCGTTGGTGAATAGAGACCTTAAGATTGAGGTTTTTCGGCATTTCCCGCGAACTGCGAACGTCAAGAAGTCACGTGACCAGAGCCTTGCCGTCAGGTTTGCGGTTTGAGGTTCACGTTTGTACGTCAAGACCACGCTCTAGAGGTAAGTGATTTACCGCAAGTTTTTTTGCACCCTAAAACATCACAATCCCACGTTTGAGAGGAAATACTACTGTTTAGAACTATTTCGCTTATTAATTATCGAATTCTTTTTATAGAAACGTAATTTTGAAGACGATTTCTCAGCTAAAATAGAAGTGAACAAACGAATGAAAACAAACATGGCAGCCGGCTATTTGTTGTTGGAACTGATTTGCCAGTAGGATTACTTTATGGTTAAACTACGATAAACAAATTACAACAAAAGCAGATTTCTGATGATATGTAAATGCATTCTTTGTTTCCTAGATGGCTCCCTTCAGATGGCCAAGTCTTAAAAATGACATTGCCCTGGCTAAAGAAGTTGCTTCCAGAAAGCCACAAACACATCAGGAATGGGATGAATTAGCAACTATTCTCAGTGAAGTCTTTAGTTCCGACAGCAACAGAGTTGAACTAAAGGGGCGCGGGTGCCGAGAAAGATTGACAAGGCTCATTGAAAAGAATGAACAAGATGACAAAAAGTCGCTCAAAAAGTAAGGGTTAG